CACCCAGGCAGGAAAGTCTGTGTAAGACTCTTTTTTTTTTTTTTTTTTTGGGGGGGGGGGTCCGGTCGTGGGGCCAGAACTCTGGCGTGGGCGCTGTCCCTCAGCTCAAGGCTAGCGCTCTACCACTTGAGCCACAGAGCCACTTCCGGCTTTTTTTTCTTTTTGCTTATGTGGTGCTGAGGAATAGAACCCAGGGCCTCATGCATGCAAGGCAAGCGCTCTACCACTGAACCACCTTCCCAGCTCAAGACTCTTTTTTTTTTTTCTTTTTCTTTTTTGTCGGTCGTGGGGCTTGAACTCTGGGCCTGGGCGCTGTCCTTCAGCTCTTCAGCTCAAGGCGAGCGCTCTACCACTTGAGCTACAGCGCCATTTCCAGTTTTCTGGTGGTTTATTGGAGATGGGAGTCTCACGGTCTCTCTTGCCCGGGCTGGCTTTGAATCGCGATCCTCAAATCTCAGCCTCCTGAGTAGCTAGGATTACAGGCGTGAGCCACCAGCGCCTGGCAACACTCTTATTTTTAATTAATCACAAATTAATGAATCACAAAAAAGGTGAAAGTGGAGCTATGGCTCAAGTGTTACAGTGCTAACCTTGAACAAAAAAAGCACAGGACAGTGGTTGGGCCCTGAGTTCAAGTCCTAGGATGGCACAAAAACAAAACATAGGTCCTACAAAGTAAAATCTATATGAACATTTCATTCCTCATTTTATTTAGAAATAAATACAGACTATGTTCTCTTAGTTTAGCTGTAATCAGACCAAAAAAATATAGCTTCATTAGAAGTCTTCTAAACTAAGGAGTCAGAAGAACACATGCTAAACTCACTATTATGCAAAAACTTATGCCATTTTTTACAGCAAAGTTCAGATGATACTAAATTAGTAGATTTTATAGGACATATTTAAAAATCATTTACAGGGGCTGGGAAGGTGGCTCAGTGGTAGAATGTTTGCCCTGCATGCATGAGGCCCTTGGTTCTATTCCTCAGCACCACCTAACCAGAAAAAGCTGGAAGCGGCACTGTGACTCCAGTGGTAGAACACTAGCCTTGAGATGAAGAGCTGAGGGACAGTGCCCAGGCCCAGAGTTCAGGCCCAATGACCAACAACAACAACAAAAATCATTTACAATATTCCAAATAAAAAGCAAAAAACAGAAAAATATAATTTTTGTGTGTGAGGAATGATTCACCAACAATCATGGCATTTGTATTTGAAGTTCTCTAATGCACTAACTAAACTTATGTCTAATGTGTAACCATATAATTTAAAAAATCCAAACATACAAATGATTCCTAGGAAGTTCAACACACACAAAAAAACTTTTAACAGAATTAAAAGCAAAATTCATTATTACTCCAAAATTCATTATTACATACTAGAGAACACTTGCATCTGAAGTGTTTTAAACAAAAAATATATATACACTTCAAATTTTGTATTTTAATACACATTTTCCCAACTATGTTCTCAACTTTACATTCATCATAACAATTATATCTAAGTCTCAGGAAAAAGAAAAATTTTATTGGTGGTAACAATCGAGCCAAATTATAGCTTATCTTTTATATTAGACACCAAGCTCAGGTAAACTGCATTAAAGAACAATTAACTTTATGTTTCAATTGTATGGTTGATAAATGTTAACTAGACTTCACCAGGTATGAAGACAGCTAAATATGTATATATATTTAATAAGACCCCAGAAAAAAAAGGTAATTTTTGTTTTCCGAGTCATATTTAGCTAGTCGTACCAGCTGACTGCGTAGTTTCTCTCCATGAATACTTTCTAAGATGTTGCCAATATATTCTGGCATAGTTTCATATTTACAAAACTTCCAAAGGACCCTCCCCCAAGGTATAACCCCTGCTTTCACTGTATTTGATGTTGGCATAATTTGTGGAGAGGAAGGGAAAAAACAAATCATTTAAATAGGGATATAGGTGGACCCATTGCAACAATGAGATTTACAAGTTGTTATGTCAAAAAAACGAACATCACAACTTTGGTTGGGGGGGGTGTTGAGGGGGAGGATTAGGTGGGGGGGGCGGAGGGAGGGATGGGAAGGGATGGGAAGGGTAAACAAAGGAGGAGGTTACAATGCTTGATAAGAAATGTACTCATTATCTTGCCCATGTAATTGTAACCCCTCTGTATAGTATTTTCACAAAAAAAAAAAAAAAAAAAAAAAAAAAAAAAACTTCCAAAGGAGAAAAAGAAAAATAATTTTTAAAAGTATTCTAGAGCTGGGTGCTCATGTTTGTAATACTAGATACTCATGGGGACTGAAATAAGAGGATTGTGGTTCCAAGCTAACCCAGGTGGGAAAAGGAAAGTATGCCTTGGGCAAAAAAAGCTCAGAGATGGGGCTGGGAAGGTGGCTCAGTTGTAGAGCACTTGCCTTGCATGCATGAGGCCCTGGGTTCGATTCCTCAGCACCACATAAGCAAAAAGAAAAAAAAGCCCGAAGTGGCACTGTGGCTCAAGTGGTAGAGCGCTAGCCTTGAGCTGAAGAGCTGAGGGACAGTGCCCAGGCCCAGAGTTCAGGCCCAATGACCGGACCCCCCCCAAAAAAAAAACATTAGGATTATTAATAAACTTCCAGGTTTAGTTTACCAGGCTCCACATGGCAATATTTGTAAAAATCACCTATACTCCCCAAATCATCAAATTTGTGGCAAAAGAATGTGGCAGAAGTGGTGCTGTGGCTCAAGTGGTAGAGTGCTTGAGCTGAACAGCTGAGGGACAGTGCCCAGGCCCAGAGTTCAAGCCCCACAACCACCACCACCACCATCAACAACAAATGTGGTAGAAACCTTAAAAGGAAGGATGGGCCTGTTTTGCACATATACAAACCAGTAAGAATCTAACTCATCACAATGTAGACAAACTTTGTTTTATAAAATGTGAAACAGGGGCTGGTAGAGTGCTTAGTGTTTGCCTTGCATGCATGAGGCCCTGGGTTCGGTTCCTCAGCACCACATAAACAGAAAAAGCCGAAGTGGCACTGTGGCTCAAGTTCTAGAGCACTAGCCTTGAGCTGAAGAGCTGAGGGACAGCACCCAGGACGAGTTCAAGCCCCATGGCCAACAAAAAAATAAATAAAATAAAATGTGAAACAGGCAAAAAGGGAGCACAAAAAAGAGAGAAATGGTAGAAACAGAAAATTCCATTCAATAGAAATGTAACAAAACCCTCTCTCTGTCCACCTCTATATTTCTCAGTGCTGTTTTGCATCTACTGATGCTATACTTCTTAATCTATGTGTAAAAGTTCTTATTTCTCTAGGTCCTTTTTTTTTGGGTCCAGTCGTGGGGCCTGAACTCTGGGCCTGGGCGCTGTCCCTCAGTTCTTCAGCTCAAGACTAGCGCTCTACCACTTGAGCCACAACACCACTTCCGGCTTTTTTCTTTTTGCTTATGTGGTGCTGAGGAATCGAACCCAGGGCCTCAGGCATGCAAGGCAAGCACTCTACCACTGAGCCACCTTCCCAGCCCCTCTCTAGGTCCTTTTATACAAGGTACCTTTCAAATTGTTTTGGGTTTTTTTGAAGATAAAAGAGGCTCACACCTGTAGTCCTAAGCTACTCAGGAGTCTGAGATCTGAGGATTATGGTTCGAAGCCAACTGGGGCAGAAAACTCTCCAGGAGACTCTCATCTCCAATTAATCCTTCAAAAACCAGAAGTGACTGCTATCTCCAACTAACCCCTCAAAAACCGGAAGTGGCACTGTGCTGAAAGTGGTGGAGTGCTAGCCTTGAGTCAAAGAGCTGTAGGACAGAGTACACACCCTGAGTTCAAGTCCCAGGACCACCACCACCACCAACAACAAGATGGATAAGAGAGGGAACAATAGATCATTAGACAGCAAGAATGTGTGTGAAAGAGATGTGAAATTCAGGGACTTGTGATCCCATAATAACAAGCTCTCCCTTAACATTTTGAAAATTATAAATTAGTGAATGTTTAGTGATGAAGAGAGCTTTGATTTAAAATGTATAAGCAAACTGTTTATGTAACACCTACTTCATGTCCCTCAATGAGAACCAGAGTTATCCTAAATCCCAGATTTCCAGAAATACGATGGTTGCTTTCTCTAGGGAACAGAGAATGAAAGAAAAAAAAAAATCCCTGCTGTCATTAGTGTTAAGAGCCCCCTCCTCTCGTGAGCAGTGATCCAGGCTGATAATGACATCTCCAGGTTCCTCAGAAACTACCTACAATGCTCCCCAGGCACGGTTTGGGCGGGGTGGGGGGTGGGGTGAAGAGGAAGACTGGAAGCAATGGCATTTTGTAAACTTCATCCCATCAGTGATGTCAGTGGTCTTCGCTGTGTGCCCTGAAGGGCAGGTAAGGGAGATGGCAGGTGGCCCGGCCTTCCGGGGGCACACTGGCACACTACCCTACGTAAAGGACATGCTCACCCTCTCATCTCTGATTAGAACGACGGGAGCGCAAGTCCCTCTAGATTCCGCAAGAGCAGACGTTTTGACAGAAAGAGCAGGCCAAGCGCCAGCGGCTACTCAGGAGGGTGAGACCTGAGGGATCACGGTTCGAAACCAGCCCAGGCAGAAAAGTCTGAGAGACTCTTATTTCCAATTTATCACAGAAGAAGCCGTAAGTGGCGCTGTGGTCCAGCTTTGAGCAAAGTGAGCTAGTGGACAGCGCCCGAGTTCGAGCCCCAGGACCGGCGGGGGGCGGGGGGGGGGGGAAGAAAAGGAAAAGGAAAAGAAAGGGCAAAGATGGACAACCCCAAACTTCAACCCTTCCGGCGGTTTCGCCAACGCAGTGGCACCGGTTCGTGCAGCGGGGATGCCGTGGGGGGGGGGCGGGGGCGGGCAGCCTGGGGCGCCCGCCCGACGCGCAGCTCCGCGTACCGGGGTGCGCAGCTCCGCGTACCGGGGTGCGCGGCGAGGGCGCGCGGGGACCGCAGTGACCCTCCGGCGACGGTGTCAACCCCCGACAGAGAGGTGAACCCCGCCCCGCGGCCCAGACTCACCTGCTGAGCCGATTTCCATTCATGGAGCTGAGGGACGCGCTCCGAGGGAGAGGTGCGCCCGCTACGGGAGCGAGGAGGCGCGGAGGCTCGGAGGCGCCAGGCGGGGGCGATGGGGGCGACGCGGGGTCGCGGCGCTCCGCAAGCTCCGGCCGGGAGAGTCGCTGCCGGCAGACAGCTCGGCCGAGCGAGAGGCGCGGAGAGGGGGGAGCCGCGGCGAGGGGAGCCGCGTCCAGGACTTGCGTCGCCCGCGGCCACCGACGCTCGCACGAGCTCCCCCCCACAGTCGCGGGCCGCCGCCACCGCCGTCCCCGGAAGCCCGCCGGCGTCAGTTCCGCCGGGCCGGAGCGCGATGGGCGCGACGTCGGCGCAGGGACGCCGAGCCGGGGCGGGGCCGTGGGCGTAGGCGACGTGGCCCAGCGGTCCCCCTCGGCCGTGCGGCCCGGAGACAGCCCCGAAGGACCGACGTCCTTCGCGCCACCCTGGCGCGCGGTGCCGCCTACCCCGGGCGACGTCGCGGCCCTCGGGGCCTACCTGAGAAGCGGCCGCACCCGGGGCTGGCAGCCACCGAGCCTGGGCACCCCTCCCTTCCCGCCTTGGGGACTTGAACCACCGCTTTATTTGGGGGGGGGGGGGGGGGGAAGTTGACTGGAGTTTGAAAATGAACTGAACATTACCGGAACATTGGATGGAACGCTTTCCATGTTTAAAACGCCTCAGTGCTGAAATAACGCCTCATCACCTCCAAGAACTTCTCTCCAGAAGAGCGGCTAAGTGGGTTTCCAACTTGCAAGTCCCGGAGCCTGCCAGACGTTTCTCTCCCCTGACTGGAGTCTCTTTCTGGACCAAAAATCGCCTCCCAACCCGGCCCCGGCCCCCTCCTCACTGCAGGCCACTGCATACGTTCTCTTGCTCGCATGCAAAACATCTGTGGCATTTCCAGCACCCCCAACTCCAGCGGGGACGCCCTGCTAACCTACGTTTCCTTGGTTACCTTCCCCCAGGCTGGCAGTTCGCGACTCGAGGTGTGCCCCTGTACTCACAATGTACTACCCGTATGTAAGCTTTACAGGGACGCTAGGTCCCCTACATTGCAATGTTTAAGCTTCCCTTTAAAAACCAAACCATATTATTTTAAAGGAAAAGGAGGGAATATACACACACACACACACACTATTTTCAGTCCACACCCCATTCCCACTCACTGTGGGACTTTGAATTAGTCAGTTTGATCTTCAGTTTCCTAATCGGAGTAGGAACCTTACAAAGTCATTGTTGAGCTTAGGTAACTTACATAAAGCCCAAAGAAAAATCTTCCATAAATGTCCATGAATAGCCAAAGTATTTACTATGGTTACAATTTCAAAGCACTTAATAGATTCACCTACCATATTATATAGGCTTAATGAAGAGAAGGAACTTCAAACTCCCATCTGTCTCGAGTTCTGCCTCTCTTCTTCCTTGCCATACCTGTGACTGAAAATAACCTCCCAATTTTAAAATATCAAGGATAAGACACGCGAAATGTCCATATATATATATATGTTTGTTTGTTTTTGCCCATCTTTGGGCTTGAATTCAGCCTGAGCCCTGTCCCTGAGCCTCTGTACTCAAGGCTAGCTCTCTACAACTTGAGCCACAGTGTCATTTTGGATTTTTCTGAGTTTACTGGAGATAAGTCTCACAGACTTTCCTGCCCCAGGTGGCTTCAAACTGCGATCCTGATATCTCAGCCTCCTGAGTAGCTAGGATTATAGGCATGAGCCACAGGCACCCAGCTGAAATGTCATTTTAATTCCTTGACTATACATAATCCCTATCTTGTAGCAGGGTCTAGTAGGGCAAATAGCATCTTTTGCACAAGGGGCTATCCCATTCTCAACTTCCCTGATCCCAGAACTAGTTCCCAAATGAGTGTGCTTACTTGGCTCCTCCAAGAAAACATGATGATGATGGTGATGAAGTCACAAGGAAGGCTGTTTTCTTTTTGGACATTGATAGATCAGGACTTGGATACTCTGGCTCAACCAAATTCAGTAACTGTCTCATACCTTCCTATCTACTGCTATCCAAAAGCACCTCTTTGCAGAGAGCCCATGAGAAAGGGCCATGAACTGTAGTATCAGGAAGGGGGAAGGCAGAAAGGCCTGTTCCAAAGGTAAAGTTGTCTGAGGCTCTTCCCAGGCCACATGCCCAATTTTTGGATAACTTACAAACAAGTTTGCCCTTACCAACAGAGTCCCAGTACCTAAAATAATGCCTGTGCCTAGCATATAACCACATTATTTGTTGGGTGGGTGGATGAATAAATCAATGTGTATCAAGAATAGGGCTCACAGTAAAACTTACTTTATCCCCTGTAGTTCTGATTATTGTAAGTATCCTTTTATTTGTTGTCAGTCATGAGACTTCAACTCACAGCATGGGTACTGTCCCTGAGCTATTTCTCTCAAGGCTAGTGCTCTACCACTTTGAGCCACAGGGCCACTTCATTTCCTCATGGCATATTAGAGATAACATGGATTTTCCTGCCCAAGCTGACGTCAAACTTTGATCCTCACACCTCAACCTCCTGAGTAGCTAGGATTACAAACATGAGCTGCCAGGGCCCTGCTGAGATTTATAAATAGTTCAAAAATCTCAGGTGCAGAGAAAGCAGAGAATGTTGGAAACTTCAGTGGCCACCAAGGAAACAATGCCAATTTTCTTTTCTTTTTTTTTTTTTTGGGTCCGGTTGTGGGGCCTGAACTCTGAGCCTGGGCGCTGTCCCTCAGCTCTTCAGCTCAAGGCTAGCACTCTACCACTTGAGCCACAGCGCCACTGCCGGCTTTTTTCTTTTTGCTTATGTGGTGCTGAGGAATCGAACCCAGGGCCTGCAAGGCAAGCGCTCTACCACTGAGCCAACTTCCCAGCCTGCCACTTTTCTTAAAATATTATATAAACTACATGAACTTGAAAAGTAAAAAAAAAAGGTAAAACTGGGACATGAAGTGGGCAATGAAACTGAAAACTTTTGATCTTCAAAATGAAAAGGCAAACCAAAGTTGGGAAGAAAATATTTATAAAACGTATGTCCAACAAAGAACTTGTATCTGGGCTGGGAAGGTGGCTCAGTGGTAGAGTGCTTGCCTTGCATGCATGAGGCCCTGGGTTTGATTCCTCAGCACCACATAAGCAAAAAGAAAAAAGCCAGAAGTGGCGGTGTGGCTCAAGTGGTAGAGCGCTAGTCTTGAGCTGGAGAGCTGAGGGACAGCGCCCAGGCCCAGAGTTCCGGACCCAAAAAAAGAGAACTTGTATCTAAAATATATAGACTTCTTAAAATTCAATAAAGCAACCCAACTTAAAAATGGGTTAAGGGCTGGGAAGGTGGCTCAGTGGTAGTGCGCTTGCCTTGCATGCCTGAGGCCCTGGGTTCGATTCCTCAGCACCACATAAGCAGAAAAAGCCGGAAGTGGCGCTATGGCTCAAGTGGTAGAGCGCTAGCCTTGAGCTGAAGAGCTGAGGGACAGCGCCCAGGCCCAGAGTTCAGGCCCCCACAACTGGCAAAAAAAAAAAAAAGGGTTAAAAATGAACAATTTAATAGATATCAAGATAGTAAGCGTAAGCATAAGATGATCAATACTATTGGTCCTCAGGGAAAGGCACAAATACGCCATATAATCAGGACAATCTGCTGCCTTACAGCTGGTTAAGACTTCCAAGCCCAGGAAGTCAAGCTCAGGGACTTAAGAGTTCCCATTTCCTTCCTTACTACTACTATTCTACTATTTCATTTTTTTGGTGTGTGTGTATGTGTATAAGATGCCTTGAACTCAAGGTCTCATGCTCTCAACTTGCTTGATCATGGCTGGTGCTCTATCACTTGTGCAGCTATTTGCTAGCTAATTGGAGACAATAACAAGGACCACTAAGGCACTTCCCAGACCCTAGTTTGCTTTTTTTGTTGTTGGTTGTGGTGGTGGTCGTGGGGCTTGAACTCGGCCTGGGCCCTGTCCCTGCGCTCTTCAGCTCAAGGCGAGCAAGCGCTCTACCACTTGAGCCAGTTTTTGAGCCACGGTTTTCTGGTGGTTTATTGCAGATAAGAGTCTCAAGGACTTTCCTGCCCCAACTGGCTTTGAAGTGTGATCCTTAGATCTCAGTCTCCTGAGTAGCTAGGATTATAGGTGTGAGCTACTGGTGCCTGGCTTTGTTAATTCTTTTGTTGTTGTTTTTTTTTGGAATCTGGTAGTGGGGCCTGAACTCTGGGCCTGGGCGCTGTCCCTCAGCTCTTCAGCTCAAGGCTAGTGCTCTACCACTTGAGCCACAGCGCCACTTCCGGCTTTTTTCTTTTTGCTTATGTGGTGCTGAGGAATCGAACCCAGGGCCTCATGCGTGCAAGGCAAGCGCTCTACCACTGAGCCAACTTCCCAGCCCTGTTAATTCTTTTAAGAGGTAAAAAGCTTCCTGCTTTTGGAAGATAAGGAAACCTTTTAGGCCTCCCTAGAAAGATCATCCAATTAATATTGGTGGTAGTTCAAAATAGAAGTTTGTTCCTTCAGGGTATGCCCACAGGCCTGAAAAACTTTTTTTGGTCAGTCTTGGGGCTTGAACTCTGGGCCTCAGTGCTATCCCTCAGCTCTTTCACTCAAGATGAGCACTCTACCGCTTGAGCCACAGCACCACTTCCTGTTTTCTGGAGGCTTATTGGAGATAAGAGCCTCTCCTGCTTGGGCTGGCTTTGAACCTTGATCCTCAGATCTCAGCCTCCTGAGTAGCTAGGATTATAGGCATGAGCTACCAAGGCCTGGCTTACTTTTGTTGTTTTTTTTCTCTTTTGGTACTGGTCCTGGGGCTTGAACTCAGGTCCTGGGCACTGTCCTTGAGCTTTTGTACTTAAGGCTAGTTCCTCATACATTGAGCCACAGTTCCACTTCTGGTTTTTTAGTAATTGGAAATAGGAGTCTCACAGAATTTCCTGGGAGAGCTGACTTCAAACTGGAGTCTTCAGCCTCCTGAGTACAGGCGTGAGCTACCAGTGCCTAGCCCTGAAAAACTTTTCTATGGTGCTAGGAAAGGCAGCTGTGTTTAAGTGAACTTCCAAATATACTTCATTCCCAGGCAACTCTACCTTTCCAGCTCCTCCTTAACAAGACTGCTTTGAAGGATTGCTTCTGTCATGCTTTGTATCTACTGTACCAGCTTACCTGCCACTTTTCCTCAAACTATAGCCAAAAGAATGAATGTCTGGAAAACTAGGAATGAAACAACTAACTTTCCAAATTGTTATTTTTCATTAAGCACAGCAGACAGCAGCTTGGGAATGGCCCAGGTTCAGAACTCTTCTAGTATAACCCTTTCCTTTACCCACCAGACCCTGATGCATTGCATTCTGTGATCTAAATCAAGAGATACCCAACAATAAATACCCAGCCTCACTCTACTCCAATGCACTTGCTAGATGAGCATGTGCTATTTTGCCAATTAATAGAGCAACAATTCTGTTCAACCAATTCTGAAGAGACTCAGGGTGCAATAAAAAGCTTTCACTAAAAACTATTTTCAAAGACCAGGCAGTTCAGGCCCTGGGTTCCAAGTCTCTTAGAGAACAATCAACAGCCAAACCACTCTATTCTAAAACTAGCTTAGAGTAAAATTTGCTGTAATGGTCATCTTTTATTCCCTTTATTAAATTCCTCATTTCTGATCCACTTGAGGTCACAAATCTTGTCATATTTTAACAGGGAAAAAATTGTTCTATGTTTCAATTCACTGAGTTCGACCAACCTCCCTAACCTTTGCTGAAATGGAGACTAGGCCTATCTGGCCTCTTTCCCAAGGGAATCTGGCAAGTGAGAGCCACAGGTTAGCTTTGTCGAAAAGTTCTAACATTTGGCCTCCGGAGTAATGTTAGGTCCATGACATACAGACTGGATGCCAGTGGCAATTTCTCACTGGGTCCTGACCTATCTTTCCCCAGTGTACAAGAAATAACAATGTTCCACTACTTTGGAGGAATGCTAGAACTTGCATGCTTGAGAACTCTACTACCAGTTTAAGGTACAAAGACAAATAAGTTCCAAAGTTGAGTAAAAGTGGGAAAAAAATAACCCAGTTAAGCTTCTGCTTACCTGAAAATTCAGGAATGCTGAGTCCATACTGTTCATTTAGTATCACTTCTTGATTTCCTCCTCCACACTCATAAACCAGTTTCTAACTCATTTTACTCATATTCTCTATTAATATCTTGATCTATACTACTGCCTTGATGACAAAATGAATATAGTGTAGTTTCTGTTCTCACAGGTTCACATTCTCTGGAGAAGACAAGTCATAAAAATACACTAAGACCTATCTTTATTGCACTATAACATTATAAAGCTGGTGAGGAAAATAATTAGGTTTTGTTTCTTTTATTCCTTTACAAGTATCTCCTAAGAAGTGGAGGATGCTGGAGGTAGAAGTGGTTGTGATAACAATTTGGAGGTCCTAGTCTTAGTTTATTTAAATTGTGTTTCTCATTGCTCATTTTTGAGATAATAAAAATGAAAGAAAAGCCCACCTCCCTGTAGCAGTTAATGCTGTTAATTGCTTTCTGATCCATCTTACTCTCTTGGTTTTGTCCCACTCTTATTAAAGTAGCCAAAAAGACAACATTAAATATTTGATATTCTTTTGACTGTCACCTTTTGTTCCTTCTCATTAATTTGAATGTTAAGTGTATACCACGTGGTTTTAGTTAGTTATATGAGTATGGTTCATATAAATGAGTACAACTCAATATCTATAAAGTTGTGTCATTTTTCCTAAGCATTAATCCTATGTTTAATGAAAATTTTAACCTCAATCTCCACAGGACCCTCAAATCTTTCTCCCAGGCCCCTCAAATTTTAAGTCCAAGCAAGGGGGCACACATCTGTAATCCCAACTCCCAGTGGAAAGAGGCAGAAGAATTCTGAGTTCAAGGCCAACCTGAGATACACAGTGAGACTCCTAAAGAAAATATAAAAGGCCAGGCATGATGGTAAACACTGGTAATCCTAGCTATGGGGGAGGTAAAGATGGAAAGACCCTGGCAAAAAGTTAAGAGACCTCAAAATGAGTGGGCACAGTGGTGCATGCCTATAACAAACCCAGAAACCCAGATACTCAGGAGGTGGAAGTAGGAGGATTGAGGCCCAAGGCCGGCCAAACAAAATCACCTAGATTTACAGTAAATGGACCTGCAGGTAAAGGAGATAGGTTGCCTTCCCAAACAAGATGTGCGTTTTGAGTTCAACTCCCAGTATTTAAAAGGGGGCGGGGCAATAAACATAAAGTACCACCTAATCTATATAATTATCTTCCATCACTCCTTCAATAGTCACTCACACCCTACCTTGGTGATAAGGTTGCAATACTCCTGTATTTAAGTAGTTAACCTGGTAATAGATTCTACTAGCCTCTAATCAGCCATGGAATCTCTCAAATCAACCTTTTTGTTGTTGTTGTTGTTGGTCGTGGGGCTTGAACTCTGGGCCTGGGCACTGTCCCTCAGTTCTTCAGCTCAAGGCAAGCACTTTACCATTTGTGCCACAGTGCCACTTCTGACTTTTTCTGCTTATGTGGTGCTGAGGAATCAAACCCATGGCTTCATGAATGCTAGGCAAGTACTCTACCGCTAAGCCACCTTCCCAGCCCCAAATCAACCTTTTTTTTCAGTGCTACTGCTTGTGAGCTTTTTTGCTTAGAGCTAGTTCTCTACCACAGCTCCACGTCCAGCTTTTTGTGGTTAACTGGAGATAATAGTCTCACAGACTTTTCTGGCCCAGGCTGGCTTTGAAATGGAATCCTCAAATCTCAGCCTCCTGAGTAACTAGGATTACAGGCATGAGCCATTGGCACCTGGATCCCCTTTCTTCTTTTTTTTTTTGGTCCGGTCATGGGGCCTGAACTCTGGGCCTGGGTGCTGTCCCTCAGCTCTTCAGCTCAAGGCTAGCGCTCTACCACTTGAGCCACAGTGCCACTTCCGGCTTTTTTCTGTTTGCTTATGTGGTGCTGAGGAATTGAACCCAGGGCCTCATGCATGCAAGGCAAGTGCTCTACCACTGAGCCACCTTCCCAGCCCTCCCCTTTCTTCTCTATATCTTCTTTGGTTCAGCCTTGTGCCAGTCCCTTATGTTTTCCTGTACAAGGAAACTATGTGGATAATTATGACCTCCACCAAACTCAAACACCCTGTTTTCCTCATTTTTGAAAGGTGCTCTACCATCTCCCACAGTACTGCTGGCACACTGCTTTGCATGTTTGTGGAATGAAGCATACACAGAGGCCCTGTGCAGTATGATTGCACAACAATCTATTATTCCACTCTAAAACCTATCAGAGATATAATTAATCCCAATAGTTTATTTTGCCAGTAGGGAGAAAAAAAAGAGAGAGAGACCGCACTTTAGAAATAGAAGCCACTGTTGTCTTTATAAAACAGAATTGTGCTGCTGCTGTTGCTTGCTTCAGAAGGAACTGTACATTACAGCTGCTGGAATAACTTCACAATGGACTGGACAAGGTACAGCTCAAAGCAGGACACAAATACAAGTCTCAAAGGGAAACAAATGCAAACAAGTACACAGCTGTGGGGCTCTAGGGACATTTCCCCATCCATGCTGCACTTGAGAGGGATAAAAAGTTTAGAAACTAAAGTGAAACCCAGAGTAGTCACACGTGCCTGACACAAGGCTAAGTGCAACATCAAACACCAGTCAGTTTGGACTGTGTGCACAGGAAAGTCATTTCATTTTACCTTATTGCTACTACACTAGGGGACTCAGTGCATTGGGACAAATTGTCTTTACTTGCACAATTCTTGGAGAGTTTCCTATTTTCCTTTTCAAAGAGAAAATCTGCCTTCCCTATATTAATCTGTTTTGAGCCCATTCCTTTCACTCCTTTTCTTGGGCTTCCAAACAGCAGCCAGAGGTTCGAAGTCAGTAGGAGTAGAGTAAGGGGAGAGCACCAACCCAGCCTAGCTCCCAGCCCAGGGAGAAGGCAAGTCCTAGTGAGTGGGGGAAAAGAGAAAACCAGAGAATCCCTCTTCTCCAATCCGCTTAAAAGGCTAAGTAGGAAAGAGTGCCCTGCCATATCCCTGCCCTGATCAGACTTCAAGAAGGAAGGCATCTTAGCTACCATCCTAAATTGGCCTAAGCCCAGTAAATAAATAAAAACAACTTTCTTCAATATAGTTTCTAAAACTGCTTTTTGGCTCACTTAAGATGAATTTTCTGCCCCGGAAGAGAAGGAACTTCCATTCTTCTCTGTTATACATGATGCCAAGTCTGAAATACAGTCCTACCAGCCTTGCAGTTATCTAATGAGTCAGCCAAGAAGTGTCCTCTTTGTGTCCATCATGTGTACTGGCATTATTCATATAATTCTGGACAGAAAAAAACACTGTTGCTCAGCCAACAAGGAGGCTATTAAGGAGATATCTAACAGGTGGAAACTAGTAGATTTTTAGGAAGCTTTCAAACTTGTAGGCATCTTTTTCTTCAGCCTCATTCTAAGCCTAAGTTCGTGGCAACAATAGCTCCAAGGCTATCGTAGCCAGCAGTAGCACCTCAACCAATGGGTCATGCTGAACTAGAAAAAACAAAAAAGCAGTGTTCTCCTTTCCCAAACTCTATCCATTCTTTTTTTTTCTTCTCACTTTTCCCTCTATTTCCATTCTCTAACCCCCAACTCAGAATAATCAAAAAGCTTGACCCTAGGTCATCCTTAGCAAAGGAAGGTCCTAGAGCAGAGAGAAAAGGAAGCAGAAAAAGCAATGAGAAACTAACTCCAAGGAATGGTTAGGTGTGCAAACTCCCAGAAGCCAAGCAAGTCTGCTGCTCTATAGTGTAAGCTTGAGGAAAGTTCAACTAATACTACTGGGCATGGGGAACAGGTTCTTGGTCTTATGCAGTCAAGGTGCTTAGCCTGACCTTGCCAGTTAACAGTAGGATCATTGCAGGTCATGCAGAGAATTCATCACATGGGCAGACAGACAGGCATACAGGCCAGCCAGCAACCAAGTTGAGTCAATAGGGGGCAGGGGGAGACAGCCAAGGAAAGAAAGAGGAAAGGGATATTAAAAACAGTGGGAAAAAGGGAGCAAGAGACCTATGAGGATAAGGCTGGGGTCCTCCCAGTACTTCCTCAGAACTTAGTAAGAAGCACTGCTACCGCAACCAAATCCAAGCTAGCTAAAGCTTACTACCAACACCTTGTATATGTGCCACCTTTCAAACAAGAATAAATAACACAATCATGGATTTGTCTTTTTTTTCCTAAAACTAAGAGCAGAAAATTATTTTCTCATCATTATCCAAGCTCATTCTCTTGCTTTTATTTCTTGAATGGCACATGTGATGCCAAAGGACTAGAAATGCCTTTCAAGCCCCAGCTCAAAGCCCAATGGAGAGAGTGAGGCAAAGAGAAAGGAAAGAACACAAACTTGTTGCTGAGAATAGTGACTTCCATCTGTTCCCTACGGGCATTTGCAAATGCTGGTGAATGACTGGACCCTCCAGGAATAATGCCCTTGTCCTAGCCCCAAAATGTACCCAATGTAGTAGATTACATGAGAGCCCATTGTCCTAGGAGAGCTTCCTCCCCAAAGGGTGACAGAACATGAAGTAGACTGTATATGAAGGCGATGGACAGAGGGCATATGGAGTGTTAGCATCACTCTCTTTAGGCACTTGTGTAAGGAATGTAGGCTCTCCAGTGAGCTGCCTCCTCCCAGGACCTTCCACTCTGTTTTTCACTGGGCTTGTGCCCATTGGACAACCCATTCTATAGCCAGCAGAAAAATGTACAGGAGGAGTTACTCAACAGTCCTGTTGCTTTCTTCATAAGGAATATTTGCGTTACCTTTTTGTGAAGTTACTGAACAATGTAGCCAACTAGAACAGAACCTAGAGTAGATTGTTTTGCATAGCAAATCTGGGTCTGTACAAAGGCTGCTGGGAAGAGAAAAAAGGTTGCTTTAACTCTACAGGCCAGGATTCAGACCTTCCTTCCTCCAGCTGACTGGCCAATCTTGGACTAGAGCTATAGTATCATGGCTTCATCACCAGAGAGGGAAAAACCAAGCCCAGGCTCCTCAAAAAGAAGAATTTGCATACTGAAACTGAACCTTCCCATTCCAAGCAGTTGTACAGGAGAAAGAGAGAGCCTTCTCTCAACTGCCAACAGAGACTAAGCAAGAACCTCCTTCTTCTCCAGTCCTGTAAGCCAGCCAAACCCTTTATCTCAAAGGGGGGGAAAAAAAAAAAGCCCATGCCACCCACTCACATGCCCTAGTGGGAAACCAGGAAAAATTCATTTGTGTAAACAGAAGCAAAGGGAGCAGCAAAATTCCCCAGCCTGTCCACAGGACATGCTAGAATCTGGGATGAATCCAAGGGTCAAAGGACAGTCCAGTCCAGAGAAAGGGAAGATACACTTGCAGGAAAGAGTGCAGGACAGTGCAGAGGAGGAAGCCTGTAGCAAGAAAAAGGTATTATTTGCACAGAGGAAGAACAGAGCCTGAGCCTCACTTTGGGGAAAATAACCACCCCTACCTAGCCAGGCCAGAGAACAAGTCAGATACATAGTTCCTTCCGATGGCTCAATGTTTCCAGGATGTAAACTCATCAGGCATGGGAGGAATTTCCAGATTTTGGCAATAGACTCAAGTTATGGTATAAAAATAACATTTCATTTTCTTTTTTCGCATTTTAGACCTAAAGATCTTCTGTTATAAGACACCCCAGTTAAGAAATATTGAAACATAAGAGATATGACGATTAGGGGGAAAAAAGCCAGGAGTGAGAAATGCTGTATGAAAGTAACTCCAGACCAGGCAGGGTGGAAGGAATGGGGGTATGGAAAAGAGGGAAGTATAAGTGAAAAGGCCAGGGGCCAGTCATCTCAGCAGCTCCGAGACTTGTCATGTCTGAAAGTGCAAATGTCAATGGATTCTAACCATCGTGAGGTTGCGATCTTTTTAAAAGCTCAATGAGTATGGAAGTCAATCCTTCAAATGGAAAATAGCTGGCATTCTGGCTGGAGGCTTTTTGGGTTGGGATATCTGTTTCCCACCTACCTCCTTCTCCCACCCCCACCACCCAGTCCCACAAAGAAAGGTACAAAAGGTTGCAGTTCTGCAGCATTACCATTACAGGGAAGGCACTGGTTACCCACCAGCAGGCGGAAGGAAGACAGGGTCGTGTCACTTCAGAGCTAAGTGCCATAGTGCCTTAAGTGTTACTAGGGGGCTGGATCTCTGTCAGGGATGAGATGTAAGATGGGGTAGGAAATATGAGAGAATAAGGGCAAAAGGCAGTGGGCAGGGATTGAGGGTGGGTAGCTGAGGGAAGAACAACCAAAACCATTAGCATTAAAAATCTTCCTACAAACTGGATTCTGAACCCATGAAAACATCTAGTATCCTAAAATATTGATCTGGGTCTGATTTCATTTTTCTTCTTAAACAAATCTAGACCTTTTTCTGATTAAGGCTCCTAAAAAAATCCTTCCCTCCTCCCACCCACATTCTCAAGCCCCTCACTTTCCCATCTAAAGTATCAAACCCAATCCTACCAGCTTCTGTCCACAGGGCTTCAGAGCCGACCTTAACAAGCTGTTAAGCATGAGTCTTTAGCACTGTGAGTCACATGAGACACCTGTGAGTATGGTGGGCGCCAGTGCTGCCCATCTTGGTCCAATGGGATCAGGGCCAGATGTGACAAAATAGGGTGAGGGATGCAGGAGGATATGAGGTTGGTATCAGAGATTTCCGGCTGGTGGTCTCTTGCTGGCCCTGTTCCCCACCCCTCCACCCCTTCTGTAGAGAAAAACAAGGCCTCCTACACTCCTCTCTACCTAACCTCCCTCCTCCTTGCTTCCTCTGGATTTGGGCAGCACAGCTCCTGGGACTTGGAAAGCTTTCTTCTATCCAGTGAGGTAACAGCGTTCTGCCTTCAAGCGAAGTACATGGTGCGCAGAGTATCCTGGTGAACCTGTACAGCTTTGGCCAGGGCCTGGGGATCCCGCCCATTGCTCTGCCCAGATATGTGGCTCCCCTCTCCACTGAAAAGAAAACAATGAAAAAAAGTCCTACCTGGTGAACTGGACTATTAATTCCCTCACCCATCCCTGGGTGCTATTCCCACACCAACCTATGAGAAAACTTCAACCCAGATTTGGGCAGATTAAACCCAAGGATACCAAATTGTGCAGCACTCACATCTTTCTACTCAAGGAAACTTGGGAGTGCAATATAAAAGGTAGCCAGATCCCAGGCCTTACCTATCATGCTCCTTGTCGACCAAGTGGTACCGTGCCCGGAAAGCCACCAGGCGGGCATAGTAGGCAGGTGCTGGGATAGAAACAGAACGTGTGCATCTAACATAAGTGTGGCACAGCTGGTACGTCAGGATCTGGAGCTCATCTGCTGTGAAACGGTTATCATCCCAAAGGACATAGTAATGGGATGGTCGGCTGGTGCCCTGGAAAAGAAAAAAGGTAAGGGGCAGAAAAAAGTTGGACAGAGGGTATGGGGGATGATAAGGAAAAGGATCACTACTAGGACATTACCCCTTCCCTATCCTCCCCCTATAAACAGAGACACAAAAACAATGTCACAAAGTACCCTTCTTATGGGCAAACTGCAAGCACACCTGGAGCTTATTAAGAGCAATCTGGTCGGGCACCAGTAGTTCATGCTTATAATCCTAGCTACTCAGAAGGCTGAGTTCTGAGGATTGTGGTTCAGAGCCAGCCCGGGTAGGAAAGTCCTTGACATTCTTATCTCCAATAAACCACTCAGAAAAAACTGGAAGTGGAGCTGGGGCTCTCAAGTGGTAGAGCACTAGCCTTGGGCACAAAAAGGTTCAGGGGCAGCTCTCAGGCCCTGACTTCAAGCCCTAGGACCAGGAAAAAAAAAAAAAAGAGCCAGGCGCTGGTGGCTCACTCCTGTTATCCTAGCTACTCAAGAGGCTGAGATCTGAGAATAGTGGTTCAAAGCCAGCCTGGACAGGAAAGGCCATGAGACTCTCATCTCCAATTAACCACCAGAAAACCAGAAGTGGCACACTGTGGCACACTGTGGAAGAGCGCTTGCCTTCACGTGAAGAGCTCAGGGACAGCCCTCAGGCCCACAGTTCAAGCAAGATGACTGACAAAAAAGAGAGAGAGGAGAAGAGAGTGAGGGGAAAGAGGAGAGGGGGAGAGGGGGGAGAGAAAGAGAGAGAGAACACAATTCTGGTGTGAATATCACTCAGGGTTAACTGACACATTCTAGATACAATGGGAATAATAAACTAATTGTTAACCCAATAGAAACCCCAGGATATAGCCCAGCTACCTGAATGCCTGCATGGCTGCACAGGTAGAAGTCAAACTCAAATGGGTGGGTGATGTTGGTATCCACAGTGGTCCCAGCTGGGATGTTTCCACTCTTCCCAATCTGCAAAGACAAACACAAATGAAATCTCAAGATATTCCTGGTTCTAACTAGGGCCTTGGCTGAATTCTACTCCAAAGAATTCCAAGAACAACGACATAAGCTCCTATGATTATATCTTCAAGATCTAGAGGGTTCTAGGTCTTGAAAATAATAGGTTTCTAAAGTCAACCAGATCTATGTTCAGGTTATGATTATGCCATTTATTAGGTTTGGATTTTAATATCATTTAACCTTTCTGAGATGATAATATCTATCTTCAGAAGGATCCTGTAAGACACCTCAAACAATGTCTGGTATAACGTGTGGCACAAAGGAAAAGCTCAACAAGTAAAACTTCTCTTCTCTGGGAACTGGTCTAGGTCAGGAAGCTAGGAGGAGGGAGAATAAGTACAAGGGAAGAAGAGCAGCAGACACTTAGGGAAGGGAGTAGTAGAGAACGGACTACAAGAGGCAAAAGAAAGAGGAAGCCATAGAGTATGCCATAGAAGAGAACTAAATTCCCAGACTTCTTCTTAAGGACTTCTCTGTCAAGACAAAGGAAACAGACAGTATGAGGATACTGATGACCTCAATAATCTTTCACTTACTCGCTCATTCTTGTCAGCACAAAAAAGTCGGGTATGATGGCGTTTCTGCACCACAATGTAAGTGATCCCAGGCTGGTAGTCCTTTTCCAGTTTGATGCAGGCATCACGAATGGCAAGCAGCTCATAGTGGAGGATCTAGGCACAGTGTGAGCAGGGAGACAAAGAAAGACACAACTCTTCTTGAGTTTACACACTGTACTAAACTAAAAAGTTTAACACATTCAATATACTCTTTTGCAGTCTCCTTTCAAAACTGATACTCAACAATGATAGGCTCTTCTTGCCAAAATCAACCTTGATATGTTCCTATAAAATCTTGGCTTGAAGGCTTGGCATCAAAAGATATCCTAACTACTTAGGAGGCTTAAATTGGGAGATCATAGTTTAAGGGAACCTGGGCAGAAAAATGTGCAAGACCTCTTGTTAACAAAGAGCTAGATGTGGTGAGGTCCACTTGTTATTCATGCTACAATGAAAACCCTACCTTAAGTAGATTGTGCCCAAGCATCAAGTTAGGCAAGATGCAGTATTTTAGAGCCCAGTGGCAGTGGGTTATGCCTATAATCCTAGCTAATCAGGAGGCTGAGATCCAGGGATCAGCACTTGAAACCAGCCAGAGGAGGAAAGTCCATTAGAGTATTATCCCCAATTAACTACCAGAAAACTGGAAGTGGTGCTGTGGCTCAAAGTGGTAGCGCGCTAGCCTTGACTGAAAAAGCTCAGGCACAGTGCCCAGGCCCTAAGTTCAAGTCCCACAACTAACAACAACAACAACAACAACGAATTACAAGCATAAATTGACAGGGCTTGAGTGGTTCAGCAGTAAGAGCAGGAGTTCAAACTCCACTACAACCAAAAACAAAAAGGGAAATATAAAACATAAAAATAAGGGCTGGGAAAGTGGCTCAGTGGTAGAGGGCCTTGCATGCATGGGTTCGACTCCTTAGCACCACGTAAGTAAAAAAAGCCAGAAGTTGGGCTGGAAAGGTGGCCCAGTGGTAGAGCGCTTGCCTTGCATGCATGAGGCCCTGGGTTTGATTCCTCAGCACCACATAAGCAGAAAAAAAAAGCTGGAAGTGGCACTGTGGCTCAAGTGGTAGAGTGCTAGCCTTGAGCTGAAGAGCTGAGGGACAGCGCCCAGGCCTAGAGTTCAGGCCCCACGACCGGACCCCTCCCCCCCAAAAAAAAAAAAAAAGCCAGAAGTGGCGCTATGGCTTAAGTGGTAGAGCGCTAACCTTGAGCTGAAGAGCTGAGGGACAGCATCCAGGCCCAGAGTTCAGGCTCCATGACTGACAATAAATAAATACATAAAGATATAAAATCAAAGTTCAGCTGGGCGCCAGTGGCTCACGCCTGTAATCCTAGCTACTCAGGAGGCTAAGATCTGAGCATTGTGGTTCAAAGCCAGCCTGGGCAAGAAAGTCTGTGAGACTCTTCAATTAACCACCAGAAAACTGGAAGTGGCGCTGTGACTCAAGTGGTAGAGTGCTTGCCTTGGGCTGAAGAGCTCAGGGCCAGTGCCCAGGCCCAGAGTTTTAAGCCCATGACCGACATTAAAACACACACACAAACACACACCAAAGTTCACAGAAAAAAAAAATTACTAAAATCATAATGTCTATGGGCTAGGAAGGTGGCTCAGTGGTAGAGTGCTTGCCTTGCATACATGAGGCCCTGGGTTCAATTCCTCAGAACCACATAAGCAGAAAAAGCAGGAAGTAGCACTGTGGCTCAAGTTGTAGAGCACTAGCCTTGAGCTGAAGAACTGAAGGACAGCATTCAGGCCCAGAGTTCAGGCCCCACAACCAACAAAAAAAAAAAAAAAAAAATTAATGAAATAAAATAAAATAACAATATTTAATGTTAAGTCAATTTAAAGATCAAGAAGATAATGGGAATCCAGGCACTGGCACTGGTGTCTCTCACCTATCGAGTAGCTATCCTAGCTACTGAGAAGTCTGAAGATCAATGTTCAAAGCCAACCTGGGCAGGAAAAGTCTGTGAGACTGTTACCTCCAATTAACCACAAAAAGATAGATATGGAGCTGAGGCTCAAGTGATAGAGTGCTAGCCTTGAGCAAAAAAATCTCAGAGAGAGCATCCAGGCCAGGAGTTCAAGTACACACACATACAAAAAAGATAAGCTAAGGAAGCTACCGTAGGCCAATAATCATAGGCAACAGTTACCTGCAGCCATGAATATCAAATATACAAAGACAAAACTGCAGGGTAGGGACAGGGTACTCAGTTAGGGATAGAGCATGTGCTTAGTATTCATAAGGCCTTCAATTCTCAGCAGCATTCTCCTGCCAAAAACAAACTTGTACGGTAGGAAATTTGAAAAATTATTTGAAATCAATTAAAAAGAGTCTTTAAACCGAGTAGTTTTTCTTTTAATATGCCGGTCCTAGGGCCTGAATTCAGGGTTAGGCACTGTCTTTGGGCCTTTTTCTCCAAGACTGTGTTTTAACACTTGAACCACAGCTCTATTTCTGGCTTTTCTGGTGCTTAATTGGAGATGTCGCACAGACTTTCTTGCCCAGGCTAACTTCGAACCTAGATCCTCAGATCTCAGCCTCCTGAGTAAACACTATGCCTGTATTTTATTAACAGTTATTATAAAGATGACATACAGAGAGGTTACAGTTACAATAAGTCAGGTAAAGAATTTCTTTCTTTTTTTTTTTTTGTCGGTCCTGGGGCTTGAACTCTGGGCCTAAGTGCTGTCCCTCAGCTTTTCAGCTAAAGGCAAACGCTCTACCACTTGAGCTACAGCGCCGTTTCTGGTTTTCTGGTGGTCTATTGGAGATAACAGTTTCACGGACTTTCCTGCCCGGGCTGGCTTTGAATCGAGATCCTCAGATCTCAGCCTCCTGAGTAGCTAAGATTACCGGTGTGAGCCACTGGTGCCCAGCTAAGAATTTCTTTTTGAACAATGTCACTCCTTCCTTTTTCTAAACCAAGTTTCATATGTTATATTAACCTCAAATTATTAAATCCCTTTAGATATTCTTTTACCTCCTCCATTAATGTTACTAATAATATCTGCCTCATAAATCTACTATGAAAACTAAGATAAGGAATTAAGTAAAGGTATAGAAAACTTGGCAAGGCTTAGTAACAGTGCTTTCCTAAACAGTAAAATTTGAACCCAAGGGAATGTGAAGCCACTAGACATTTTTGAAAAGTAGTGATAAAATACATCTATCTGGCATTTTAGCAAATATGGATAACTTAGAAAAAAACTGAGCATAATGATTAAGAGCATGAACTTGGGAATAAGACCATGTGTCTGAATCTCAGTTCCATCACTCATTAGCCTGAGTTACAATGAAGAATCATTTAACAGGCTGGGAAGGTGGCTCAGTGGTAGAGTGCTTGTCTTGCATGCATGAAGCCCAGGGTTTGATTCCTCAGCACCACATAAGCAGAAAAGGCCGGAAGTGGCACTGTGGCTCAAGTGGTAGAGCGCTAGCCTTGAGCTGAAGAGCTGAGAGACAGCGCCCAGGCCCACAGTTCAGACCCCACAATCGATAAAAAAAAAAAATAATAATAATAAATTAACATTTCCAGGGCTGGGAAGGTGGCACAGTGGTAGAGCGCTTGCCTTGCATGCATGAGGCCCTGGGTTTGATTCCTCAGCACCATATAAGAAAAAAGCTAAAAGTGGCGCTGTGGCTCAAGTGGTAGAGCGCTAGCCTTGAGCTGAAGAGCTGAAGGATAACGCCCAGGCTCAGAGTTCAGACCCCAAGACTGGACCCCCCCCCAAAAAAAAATTAACATTTCCCAGCCTTACTTTTCTCATTGGCCAAATGAGAACAGTCACCTATTTCCCAGAGCAATTAACTATAAACACTAAATAGAACATGAAGGGCTAAGCACAGTTCATAACACATAAAACATGACCAATACATAGTATTTAATGGTAGTTCAGGGGCTGAGAAGGTAGCTCAGTGGTAGAGTGCTTGCTTTGCATGCATGAAGCACTGGGTTTGATTCCCCAGCACTACATAAGAAAAAGCTGGAAGTGGTAGAGCACTAGCATTGAGCTGAAAGGCTGAGGGACAGAGTCAGGCCCACAGTTCAAGCCCCATGATCAAAAAAAAAAAAAAAAAAAAGATTAGTTCATACACTAGTCTAAACAGGATATGAAGGCTTAGCAATGAGACCAGACAGGAAGAGCATCACAAAAGGAAGTTGACAGCGTTTATTCTGAAACTGGAGGTCCTGGACCATCAGCATTATCTAGGAACTTGATAGACTTACCAATTCTAGAGCTTACATCCTAGACTTGTTGAAATGGAAATTCATTATTTGCACACAAAGCCCTCTGGGTGAGGTTGAGGTTTATTACCATTTGAGAACTATTGGTATAAACAGCTTTTAACATAAACCAACTAGTAAATAGACTAAAGGCTTTCAGTTACAACATCTATAGATCAATTGTGATCCTTGACCCCAAGCCTATCTCATTTACCAAAATGTCCTAAGTAGTGGTATACCATACCAATCATAAAGAAGGTAGAAGTAACTAGTCTTCTAGCTTCAACATGAACATTTTTTTCTACCTACTGCAGACCCTACCTGGGGGAGCTGGCCTTCAGGGACCCCATCTCGGTAGAAGATGATGCGAGTAGGCTTGAAGCGTGTGGACTTGTAGAACTGGATGAGCAGCTCACGCACCATATAGGATAAGTCTTCAATAATTTCCTGCCGTGGTCGCTGTACCCTCACAGTTGCACAGTATCGGCTGGGGTGGGCATCCATACTGCCTACCACCTGACAATCAAGAGAAAGCCTTCAGAATATCACCATCCCTCAGTCAGACTGTGGGTTTGGAGAAACACTTCTTAGCAAGAAAATGGTAACTAAAGGAGTGAGGCTTGGGATCCACAGTTTTAATTCTACCATAATTTAAGTTTTACTTAATCTGACAGGAATATCTGCTTTCACTGCCCTTGCAGTACATATAATACCTTGTGAAAGGCCTACCCTATCCCTTAGGGGTATTAAAGATAATATTAAAGATGATAAAATTAAATTAAATATATAATTAAAGATATAATACTACTAAGTCAAACACTGGCCAGATAAGGTGGCATTAATGCCACAAAGTTGACATTAATCTTGAGGCAGACATTAGAAAAAGCCTATAACTCATACTTCAGAAAAAGCAAGAATTTGAGGCCAGCCTGGTCTACAGTGATTCTATCTCGAGAGAGAGAAAGAGAGAGAAAAAGAGAGAGAGAGAAAATAGTGGTTGGAGGCATGGCTTGGGTGAGCACTAGCCAATGAGTGAAAGCACCAGATACTGAGTTTGAGTCCTAATTTCAGACAATAAACACAACAACAACAACAACAAAAGTAAACAGTGACTTTACCTACGCCAAGTTTACCCCCTCCCATTCACATGCTAAGCTACCCTGAAATTATGACCAGTGATAAGTGTTCTTGTAGTTAGTTGATGCCAATAATGTCCTTTTCGAAAGGGACAGTGCCCATGGCCCAAGGAGGGATGGCTAAGAAAGAAAACTGGAGTAAACATATTGAAGTGTTTTGCTTTCCCTTACACTAAGACAATACTAATATCTAAAAAAAAAAAAAAAATGAGGGTAGAAACGAGATAAAGGAAGGCTGGATTCAAGCAATTTGGAAGCTCTATGGGATACGGAGCAAAAAAAGAGGAGAAAACTAGAGAATGTCTAATCTATTAGATCGATCAAGGGTGAAGGATTTCAGAGAAGATATGTACGTGTGTGTGTGTGTGCGTGTGTGTGTGTCTGTGTGTGTGTGTGTGTGTGAAAAGAGAAAAATATAAATGTAGAACAAAAGTGATGGAAGACTTGGCCAAGTTTCTGGCCACAGATTATACTCTCACTACTCTTTTCTCCTCAAACCAATACCACACAGCATTAACTTTACAGGTAATACAAATACTGAGCTGCAAATACATTTTATGAAGCCAGAGTTAAGGCATGAAAATCATGTGCAGTCTTGAGGGTTAAGCTACAAAGAAAGAATTACTCACTGCTGTGATAGAAGGTTTTTTCCCATCCCCTGCTGGGGGGTGTGTAACATCTGCTCCCAGGAAAATCACTGGCTGTTGAAAGACAGCAGAGCTGAGCAAGAAAGAGAAAATACAATGGTGAGGAACTAGATCTTCACTGCTTGGCACTATCTGATACCCACTTTGGTCTTCTCCCTCTTATATGTCTGATTTAATCTGTTTGGTCAGAGTCCTGACTCTTCATCAATCCCCAGCAGGGTACCATGACAAGAGTAAATGAACAACAGAGTTCATACCGCTGGTGTGGGACTAGGATGTTGTTAATGCCACCAAGTTTCACATTAATCTTGAGGCAGAGATTGGACAAAGTCTGAGGTGAGGTCTTGACCACGTTCTTCACCTGCACACACTGTGTTGCCATTCCCAAGAGTGTATCTCCAACACGTTTCACCTCAGCTAAAGACAGGGAGAGAAATGATGAGTGCAGTCAACAAATTTACTAAATGCCTTGTAAATGCCAGGCAGTCTGTGAAGTACCAAGGGAAACAATGGCGACTAGAAACACATAAGATCCCTACTTTTAAAGTGCTTACCATCTAGTGACTAATTTTAAAAATTGTGAAATTACAACACTGATAAATGCTACAACAAAAAACTACATGGAGCTTTGAGAACATGTAATAGGAGATAATAACCTAGTCAGGAGGATATTTTTGAGCAAGTAATGACTGAACTAAAATGTGGAGAAGAGTTTGAGAGAGCATTCCAGGCCGTGGAACAACATGCAAAAATAAAAATGTATTCTTGACCAAATATGGTGGCGCATGCCTATAATCTCAGTACCTGGGGAGGCTGAGGCAGGAGGTTCAAGAGTTCAAGGCCCACCTGGACCACATAGTGAGTTTGAGGACAGCCCGAGCTACATATTGGCTCAAATTAAATAAATAAATAAATGTTATTTGCTAAATATATTTGAGAAATTGGAAGGCCATGTCAACTAAAAAAAAAGAGAGCAAGGGAAGAACAAAATTTGTTCACTAAACTGATCTGCAGAAGAGATTTGGGAACAGTTATTGGGTTAAGGATATAATTCAGTGGTGGGTACTTGTTTTTAGAACTCAATCCTCAACACCAAAAGAAAAAGTTGAATTGTTGAGATAGAAACAAGTGGACTCAAGAGATATGTAAAGAACTAGCCGGGCGCTGGTGGCTCACGCCTGTAATCCTAGCTACTCAGGAGGCTGAGATCTGAGGATCGATCGCGGTTCAAAGCCAGCCCAGGCAGGAAAGACTGTGAGACTCCTATCTCCAATAAACCACCAGAAAACCGGAAGTGGCCCTGTAGCTCAAGTGGTAGAGCGCTTGCCTTGATCTGAAGAGCTGAGGGACAGCGCCCAGGCCCAGAGTTCAAGCCCCACGACTGACCAAAAAAAAAAAAGAGATATGTAAAAAACTGAGTTAGAGACTAGATGCAAAAGGAAATATCTTTCATGAATAACTTTTAATTTCTAGATTTTCTAGTGTGTATGTGACATTTTGAGTTTGAAGTGCTTTTCTGATATCCTAATAACAACATCATTTAGGTAAATGGCTAGGGAGGGAGGGAAGGAGGAAGGAAGGAAGGAAGAAAGGAAGGAAGGAAGGAAGGAGAGCAGGCAGGCAGGCAGGCAGAAAGAGAAGGAGATAGGGAGGGAAGGAGAAAGGGAGGGAGTGAGGGAGAGAGGGAGGAAAGAGGCAAGTCACAGAGCAGAGAGGGTACATGTAATAACAATACATATTCAGCACAGGTATTATAAAGAATACCTATACATCAGGGCTGGAAACACAGCTAAAGTGGTACAGAACTTGCCTAATAAACATGAGGCCCTGAGTTCAAACCCCAGTTCTGAAGGAGAAAGAAAAAAAAAAGCTAAAATGCGTTATATTTATATGATGGAAAATAAATAATAAACGGTAACTATATACAACATGGACGAATCTCAGAAACTTAACTGAAAGAAGCCAGATGCAACAAAAGTACATACAATACAATTCACCTTAAATCAAAAATAGCTGCCATGGTGTAGGTGTGGGATAGTGATGGTTAACAGTCTGCTAAGTACTTGTTAGTTATGCTGTTGTGACACTATGTGAAAAATCACTCAACTGAACATTTAAGATGTTTATTTGTTTTATTATTTAATAAAAAGCTTATATATTTTTTTAAAAAGTCAATAATGATAGGGCACAATGAATCATGTATGTAATTCCAGCTACTTAAGAGACCAAAAGAGGGAGCACTAATGTTCAAGGCCAGCCCAGGCAAAAAGAAAAAACAACTCACAGTATAATTTGTTTAAGTCAGTTACAACCAGTACTGAAATTCAGAACAGTGTCTTTTCCATTTCTAGTATATGTGGCAAATGAACACTGTAAGATAAAGCTGGAAAGATTAAGGTAAGATTAGGGCCCTGAAAACTCCTGATGGACTAGTGAATGGGTATCAGTGAAGAAGGATTTTTGTGATTGTTATTATTTATTTAGGCATAATTGTTACAAAAGTCTTATCTGGCATTCTTATGCAAGACTTGAAAAGAGCTGGGCACTGGTGGCTCATGCCTGTAATCCTAGCTACTCCGGAGGCTGAGATCTGTGGATTGCAGTTCAAAGCCAGCCCGGGCAGGAAAGTCCATGAGAATCTTATCTCAAATTAACCACCAGAAAACTGGAAGTGGCACTGTGGCTCAAGTGGTAGAGCGATCACCTTGAGCTGAAGAGCTCAATGACAGCACCCAGGCCAGAGTTCAAGCCCCACAACAAAAAAAAAAAACAAAGACTTGAGAAGAAAAGTTAAAATTATGGAAGAGAGAAAGGCTAAAGGGATTAATGAAAATTAAGATTCAAGAGTTGAATCATGACTTTACTACTATAACTTATAACAATAGATAATGGCTGAAATCAGTGAAATGAATGAGAAACAATAGGATGAAAAAAATAAGAGAAAACAGAGGACAGAAAACTGAAGAATACTTGGCAGTCTTAGTGAAGACAAAAAAATAAGGTGGAATAGGGAGAAAAATGCAGAAATCACAGGACTAGGAGAAGTGATAAAGGTAGTAGTGACCTTTGTAGAGGAGGCTGAGGAAAAAGGTAGTCAAGATGGAGGAAAGAAGCTAATGAGTAAGTAGCTGGTGAGGATAGGAGCATAGAGAATATAGAGAACTCATTAACAAAATCCAAAGAAAAACAATAGGAAGTTAAAGGAGATAGCAAATTTGTAGAACCGTGTTATACTGTTTGAAGATTGAAAGGCATGAAGTCTCAAAGGGGCTAGATAGGCACATAAGCAGAGGAGTTGAACTGAGGTAAAAGGAACAATAATGTCTTTAAAAGAGGAGAAATACAAAAAATGGAATGCTGAGCCAGATGCCTATTCAGTTACACACACACACACACACACACACACACACACACACACACCAGATGCCTATTCAGTTAAACACACACACACACACACACACACACACACACACACACACACACACACACACACACACACACCAGATGCCTATTCAGTTAAACACACACACACACACACACACACACACACAAACAAATAAAAAACAGAAAAGAGGAGAGAAATCTCTCAAAATGTCCAGGTCATTACAACAACAACAAAAAAAAAACAGCAGAAACACTACACCTTCTGTTTGGACTATCCTAATAACACACTCCTGAGGACAGGTATCTGGCCATCTTAGCCTAGAAGAAAGCCCAGTACATAAAGTATACCAATGAGTGTTAGTAGAAAGATGTGTGAGGAGGTAAGTCAAACCATGGGCTGACTCAATGATTCATAAAGTATGGTACTTCTTGGATAAAAGGAATACTGATACTAAGAGACATATCTGGCCAAAGCCACAATTCTCTAGACTCCTCCATGTAAAAAGTCCCCAGGAAGGTACTAGCCTTAGAAGAGTGCTACTATCATTATTACTGTTCCAAGAGAACTGTACCATACACTGGCGTCTTCCCAGGTAAGATGACGATAATGAGCTGCAGCCCTGAGTAGGTGTTCTTGAGATGCCGGAACATGGGCTCCACACTGTCTGCCCCCTGTGCATATTTGCAGAAACAAGGCTGACCCTGGATGGGCATCCCTGCATCCTTGGAAATCTTCCGAAGCTGGTCTGTGAAGTTCCTGTAGCACAAGCATGGTCATGATAGGAAGCAGTAAGTCTCACTTGAGACACAAGTGAAATATAATTACAAATGAAATATAGTTACAGCTAGTGTTAAAAAATACATTTATAAAGGGTTGGGAAGGTGGCTCAGTGGTAGAGTGCTTGCCTCGCATGCATGAGGCCCTGGGTTCGATTCCTCAGCACCACATAAGCAGAAAAAGTCAGAAATGGCACTGTGGCTCAAGAGGTAGAGTGCTAGCTTTGAGTGGAAGAGCTGAGGGACAGTGCCTAGGCCCAGAGTTCAAGCCCCACAACTGACAAAAAAAAAAAGCATATAATAATAAAAAAAATACATTTATAAGCCAGGTGTTGGTAGTTCACACTTGTAATCCTAGCTACTCAGGAGGCTGAGCTAGGAGGATCATGGTTCAAAGCCAGCCCAGGCAGGAAAATCCATGAGACTCTGATCTCAAATTAACCACCAGAAAACCACCAGGAAGTGGAGATGTGGCTCAAGTGATAGAGTGCTTGCTTTGAACTGAAGAGCTCAGGGTCAGTGCCTAAGCCCAGAATTCAAGCATCACAACCAACAACAACAACAAAAAAGCATAATCAACTAGTACAACATGTAACTTGCTAAGTGTTTAACTAGAGAGAACACTAAGGAAGTTAAGGGGGCTCAGAGGAGGGACCTATGGGAGTTCCCATGGCTCCTACTTATCCTGCTTGATTGGGATCTATACAGACCTGGAATCCATTAAATACCCAAACAAATAAGCAGTGTCTAAGTGCAAGGCCTTTGTGCTCAAAATAGAGGTCGTTTCAAAGTGTTAAGAGTACAGGAGATACCCCAACTGAGATACCCCAACTGGTGCTTTGAAGCCTAAGAGCCAATTCATAAATGAGTTTTGTTCCTCTGGCTTTTACCCTGGGAAAGGAAAAGAAATTTGGTACAGGGTATATAGCCAGGAGAGTAAATATAAACTATATAATACACTGATGGATTACAATGGATAGCAAATAAGTAAATCTGAAAATATCTTATATTTATTCAAAAGTGTTGAGTGATAGAACACTTGCCTAACATGCACAAGACCCTGGGTTTGGTCCCTAGTACTGAAAACAAAAACAAAACTAAATAATTAAAAACAGTAATATACAAATAGAAAATGGAAGCTGGGTGCTAGCGGCTGAGATCTGAGGATTGCCAGCTTGGGCAAGAAAGTCTGTGAGACTCTTATTTCCAATAAACCACCAGAAAACTGGAAGTGATGCTATGGTTCAAGTGGTAGAGTGCTAGCCTTGACTGAAGAGCTGAGGGACAGTGCCCAGGCCCAGTGTTCAAGCCCTATGGCCAACAAAAAAAAAGAAAATTGAAAACAGAAGTGAATGTTTAGACATGTTATTAGACAATACTTAAATATCAATAATTTTACTAAGAAAAGTATTTGTAATCTCATCTAAAATTTTAAATCAGCTGGGCACAGGTGGCTCATGTCTACAATTTTCAGAAGCTGAGATCTGAGGATTGAGGTTCAAAGCCAGCCCCAGCAGAAAAGTCCATGAGATGCTTATCTCCAATTAACCACTAGAAAACCTTAAGAGGTACTGTGGCTGAAAGTGGTAGAGGCTAGCCTTGAGCGCAAAAGCTCAGGGACAGTGTCCTGGTCTAGAGCTCAACCCCCATGAATGACAAAACAAATAAAATAAAAATTTAAATCCTTGGGCTGGAAAGGTGGCTCCGTGGTAGAGTGCTTGCCTTTCATGCAAGCCTGGCCCTGGCTTCGATTCCTCAGTACCACATAAGCAGAAAAAGCTGGAAGTGGTGTTGTGGCTCAAGTGGTAGAGTGCTAGCCTTGAACTGAAGAGCTGAGGGACGGTGCCCAGGCCCAGAATTCAGGCCCCACGACCGACAATAAAAAAAATAAATTTAAATCCCTTATATATGTATAGTTTTTAAAATATATAAATTGGATAGGAAGGCTATAATAATGCTTCACAAATGACTGCATCAAAAGGGAGGAATAAGCTAGGTGCTGGTGGCTCATGTCAATTTAACCCTAGCATTTGAAAGACAGAGAGCTGAAGGATCACAGTTTGAAACCAGTGAGGGCAGGAAAGTCTGTGAGACTTCCAAATAACCACCAAAAAAGCCAGAAGTAGAGCTATGGCTTGAGTATTAAAATGCTAGCCTTGAGCAAAAAAGCTCAGGGACAGCACCTAGCCACTGAGTTAAGCCCCAGGATAGGTACAGGAAAAAAAAAATAAATAAAAATAAAGGAGGAATGAGACTAGGATGGAAGATACAAATGAATATCAAATTTATTTATAATGTGTATTTTTGAAAAAAAAAGTTTGACAAAATTGAGTGTTTTTAATACTGTTCTCTGCATTTATCATTCTCTAAAAATAAACATTAAAATAAAAAGCTACAACCTGACCATTCCTTCACATGAATAAGAGTTATTTCTTCCATTTCTCTGTGTTGCACACAACTGTAGTGTAGCTACCAAAAATGCTGATGCATTTAGCAGACTGTGTTAACAGGTTTCATTAATAGTGAGTTATTCCCTATGTCCTCTTGACTCCCAACTATACTCAGAATACTGTATCCAGTATTGGTAACCAAAAAGTGTTGAGAGATGTCTAGAGTAGGAAATCTCTTGCAATTCTCTTCTAAAAGCAATAGAGTCTCTTTAGTAAGAAAAATAAAAACTTTTGTTTTCTTGAGAGTTGAAAAAACTTTCTCATCCATACATAAATGCCAAATTTCTACAATTCCATAGCAACCACGATGCCTTCTCTTTCCTTCCAGTGCGATGAGTGCCTTTTCTCTCTGTTTGGATACCCTCTTTCTACAGACGTAAGGAGACTTTGCTCTGTGTATGTACTAGGTTTTTTTTTGTTTTTTAATTCTATTTTCAGCCTCTGCTTACTACGCTCATTCTTCCTGGAAAATCTTCTCATTTACTGTCATGGTTAAATACTCAGAAATCTTTATTTGTAGCCCTAAATCACACATCAAACTGGGTATCATCACTGACCTACTGCTCAAGTCTCATTTTTATCTCCTGTATCTAAGAGTCACTGGGAGAAGAGGATGACCAAAATATTAACCCCTTGCAAGTCTAGTTTTATCAGTTTCCAAAAGAATTAGAAGTAGGGGAGGACACAAGGGTAAGAGAAGCACACCAGAAGGCTGGGGCATGGTTCAAATAGTAGAGGATCTGCTTAGCAAGTGCAGAGCCCTGAGTTCAAATCCTAATACAGCAATAAAGAAAAAAAGAGAGAAACACAGACATAGATCAGGGTTACCAAAGAGATAGCTATAGCAAAAAGGCAGAGTCATCCAATATTGCTAAGGGCTTACCCTCAATACCAGATCAAGTTAAGGAATAAGTACCCTCATTTAAGCTAAAACCTAAAGAACACAGGAGCTGGGCACTGGTGGCTCATGCTTGTAATCCAAGCTACTCAGGAAGCTGAGATCTGAGGATCACAGTTCAAAGCCATCCTAGGAAGGAAAAAGTCTAGTGAGACTCTTATCTCCAATTATCCACCAAAAATCCAGAAAGAGCTGTGGCTCAAGCAGTGGAGTATTAGTCTGGAGCAATAAAAGCTTAGGGACAGTGCATGCCCAGGCCCTGAGTTCAAGCTTCAGTACTGGCACCAAAAACAAAGAAATGAACAGGAAAAGGGGAGAGAAGGAGTGAAAGAGAAGAAGAGAAGAAGAGAGAGAGAAATAAAGAAAGAAATGAAGAAAGAATGAAGAAAGAAAGAGAGAGAAATAGAGAAAGAGAGAGACAAAGGAAGGAAGGGAAGGAGGGAAAGGAAAGGGAAAAGGAAAAGGAAAAAGAAAGGAGAAGGAGGGGATGGAGCCAGAGAGGGAGAGAGAAAGGGAGAGAAGGAAAGAGGGAAGGAGGGAGGGAGAGAGGAAGGAAGGAAGAAGGGAAGGAAAGAAGGGAAGGAGAGAGGGAGAGAGAAAGGAAGGAAGAAAGAAAGAAAAAAGAGAGAGGAAGGAGCAAAGAAACAGGAAAAGGTAGAAAAAGAAGAGGAAAGAGGAGGAAGAAGAGGGAAAAAAAAATCTTTTGAAAATAAACTACAATTTGTGATGGTGGTGGCTATATATTTGGATATGGTAGGTCGGTAGGGAGAGGAGAGGCCGGCCCATTGTCACTGAATCCTTCAAGAGCTGCTAGAACTGATTACCAAGACAGCAAGGCTATCTGAAGCCACAAGGGCCATATGTCTCCATTATTTTCATCACACCAAAATGGTCAGCTCCACTGACTCTTACACATTCCCAAAATACAGTGATCCCACTCTACATCTAGAGACACAACACCATACACTTTAATAAGTGTGTTTTGTGATTTTTTTTAACATATTGCAATAAAAAAGGGAAATGTCTGTGCATTTTTTCATTTATTTATTCACTCACTAGAGCCATTATTCCTCCAGCCTGTTTATGTTAAACCATCTGATATAAAGTAAGAATTTTCTTTTTATTTTTTTGAGAAGGGCCTCACTACATTGCCCACAGTGGTCTTAGACTTGTGGCTGGAACTGTGGGTACATGCCACCATGACAGAGCTTGTCATAACCTGTATTTTGCAGTATATGGATAAACCCTAAGTTCTCAGAGAAGTTAGGCAAGTGTTTTGCCACTGAGCTTTAAGCCATCTGGTAATATCATTTTCCTCCTTTCTGCTATCTACTCCCAGCCCCTTAGACATGATGATACTCTTCCAACTATGGTCTCCTAATTCAGGCCACTTGGACCTGAGTGAACAAATTCTATTCATAAAGCACAGCTTAGAGGACCAGCTAAAACAGTTACTTTTTGTTGTTTTTCCCAATTAGAAACACAAATTTTGAAGCTGAGATCTGATTTGGTATTAATTCTAATATGTTCTTGATGTGTAAACTTTGGACAAGTTATTTAACCTCTTTAACCCTGAGTCTCCTAAAACTGGGAATATCATTACCTACTCTATGAACACAAAACAAGAGAAACAGCCAAGCACTAGTGGCTCATGTCTATAATCCTAGCTACTCAGGAGGCTGAGATCTGAGGGTTGTGGTTAAAAGCCAACCCAGGCAGGAAAGTTCATGAGACTGTTAGCTTTAATTAACCACCAAAACGCCAGAAAGTAAAGTTGGGTTCAAGTTATGGCAGAGTGTTAGCTCTGAGCAAAAAAAACTCAGGGACAGCACCCAAATCCTGAGTTCAAACTCCCTGATCGAAACAAAAAAAGAGAGAAAGAGAGAGAAAGGAACACAAGTGAGGTACATAAGTACAATGTTGGTATAAACATTATAATAATCACTACTACTACTACTAAAGTCTCCTTATGCCTTTTATTAGAGACAGAAAAGGAACAGTGTGAACCAGAATGGACAAAGCAGACTGAGTCAAGACAAAAGAGCAGACTATAAATCAATCTTGACCTCTGGGTGGGCAAGAACAGTGGCTCTGAGGTCTTTCCCACACTTCCAACCCCACACCCAACCCTCCTTACTTGAGCACCTCTTCTCGACATTGTTTTTGGGGTGCGAAGCAGGCGATGGCCCAGACTTTGATCTCAATACCATTGTAGAACTGTTTCCCACGCATGTCCCAGACACCTTGGTTGGGTGTGGCAATGGCCCGGTTCTGGGGATAGGCAGAGGGGGCGCCCAGGTGAGCCTCAATAGAGCCAAGTGGGTAGGGAACAAAAGCCCCTGGCTATACAATCCAACCACCCCCATATGCCCCAGAGATGTTGTCTGGCCCTGACCCTGCTCACCCGGCCGCCGTACTGCAAGATGGGCGCCGGCAGCACTCGCCCTGTCACCTCCGTCATGTCATCCTTCACTTTGATTCCAAATTCTTGGATATAGGGATCCAGATTGTAGCTGGCATTCTTCATCTACAGAGCAAAATAAGGAAATCTCAGGAAAGCAGTAGTCTGGCAATCACCCTCTTGAGGAGTAAGTTCTAAGGAGAAGCTGAAACTACAAAGAAATAGCACTAAAAAGGAATGTGAAGATGAGGACAGGTAGAGAATAAAAAGGAATAGAAGTCGATAATGAAGGAAATTATAAAGGAGGGGAAAAAGAAGCAAAATAACTGAAGGGTCAAGAAGCAAGAACAACCCAATGGAGTTATAGGCAACACATTCAGACCTGGGTTCTCCTTGAGTACAGCATTAAAGTACTCTCAAGGCCCCTACAGGCTGGGTAAATAAACAATCATTTCTCTACAGCTCCACTAACCAGGCGACTGATTTCCTCCTGTCTGTCTGGTGCCGACCTAGCTGTAGCCTTTATCATAGTTGAAGTCTGGTTGTCTGTCAGCTTCTTAATGCAGCGTTGTCCAGCCACTATGTTACAGACCTGAGAAAATGAGAAAGACAGATAGCTCTGGCTTGAATATAGGATATCAACCCGAAATCTTGACTATAAACCGTTGTAAATGGACTACACAATGGCTATATATGCATATATTCTTGAGATTTACTTGATGTGTAAGTCTGAGAATATGTGTATATAACAAAAGGGAGTACTACTTCCTTGTTGCTAAGAATTTGGTATCCAAAACCAGATTTGGGATCAGATAGTTTATGTTAATAATAACAATTTTATGGAGTTGTCTGGAGATTAAAAATGGAATTAAGCCATGGCTCACATTTTATAATCTTCCTATTTAGGAGGCTGAGATCTAAGGATTGAGGTTCAAAGCCAGTCTGGGCAAGAAAGTCCATGAGATTCTTATCTCCAATTAACCACCAAAAAGCTAAAAATGGAACTGTGGCTTGAACTCTGGGCCTGGGCACTGTCCCTGAGCTCTTCAGCTCAAGGTTAGCACCCTTCCACTTGAGCCACAGCACCGCTTCCATTTTTGTTTTTTTTGCTTATGTGGAGCTGAGGAATCAAACCTAGGGCCTCATGTATGCAAAGCAAGCACTGAGCCACCCTCCCAGCCAAAGCTTTGCATTTCTAAGTGAAGTTACCTTGAGCAGATCTCTTGACTACTCTGAGATTCAGTTTGTTTGTTTTTTGTTTGTTTGTTTTTGTAGGTCACGGGGGCTTGAACTCTAGGCCTGGGCACTGTCCCTCAGCTCTTCAGCTCAAGGCGAGCTTTCAACCACTTGAGCCACAGCACCACTTCCAGTTTTCTGGTGGTGGTTTATTGGTGATAAGAGTCTCATGGACTTTGCTGCCTGGGCTGGTTTTGAACAGTGATCCTCAGATCTCAGCCTCCTGAGTAGCTAGGATTATAGGTATAAGCCCACTGATGCCCAGCTAAGATTTAGCTTCTTTTTATCTCAGACATGAGAAAAAATATGAGCTGTCTCATATTGTTGTGGAGACTCAGATGCAATGAAATGTTTACATGAGGCCAATGTTCTCTATGTACTAACTGTTGTCCTTATTCCTAGAGTTTACGATAAGCAATGGGAGGGAAAAGCAGGCCAAAGTCACTTGCTTTTAAATTCCATAGTCTAAAGAATATACAAAATAACAAATTCATAAGGAGCATCCAAAATTATTAAAATTTACTGTTTTAAAGGTGATTTAAAGTTATAGCACTATCAATAGATGGTTTCAGCTATAAAATTAACACTACCAGGACTAAAACAGGGGTGTGATAAAATGGTAACTGGTAACAGACATGGTAGTGAAAATGCTGTGTGATTCCTCAAAAAAATTAAACATAGTATTACCATATGAATGTGAAAGTTAACTTAAATATAGTTACATATGAAAATATATACAGGACAGTATACATATATATATATATATATATATATATATATATATATATACAATCAAATTGAATGAAGTATGGTGTACACAGAGGTGGAGCAATTAACCCACAGCTTAACAAAATGAATACCTGGAAACTGAAATAGGTCTTTTCTGAAGAGCATAAAGCTTTAAAGGAGGAGGGTGAACAAATGTAGGATACATACATGAGAACGGAACAAGGCAACATGAGGGAGCAGGAAAGAGGAGAAGCAAAGAATGATGGAGAGGTGACATTGATCAAGATACATTGTACACATAAATAGACATGTTGAATTGAAACCCCTTTCTACAACTATATAAGGACAATAAAAATATTTTTTAAAAAGAAATTACTGGGGGGGTAAAGGGGGGGAGGCTGGGAAGGGATGGGAAGGGTAAACAAAGGAGGAGGCTACAATGCTTGATAAGAAACGTACTCATTATCTTGCCCATGTAATTGTAACCCCTCTATACAGGACTTTCACAATAAAAAATAAAAAAAAAAAAAATTACTGGGCTAGGAATGTGGCTTAGTGGTACAGGGCTTGCGTAACATGCATGAAGCCCTGAGTTTGATTCCTTGTACCACATACACAGAAAAAGCCGAAGTGGCACTGTGGGTCAAGTGGTAGAGTGCTAGTCATGAGCAAAAAGAAGCTCAGGGACAGTGCATAGGCCCTGAGTTCAAACCCCAGGACTGGCAAAAAAAAAAAAATCCTTAGATTTAAGCTTGGAGCGGGTGGCTAACCCCTGTAATCCTACCTACTCAGGAGGCTGAGATCTGAGGATCATGGCTCAAAGCTAGCCAGGGCAGGAAAGTCCGAGAGACTCTTATCTCTAATAAACCACTCAGAAAACCAGAAGTGGCTCAGTGGCTCCAGCGGTAGAGCACTAGCCTTGAGCTGAAGAGCTGAGGGACAGCACCCAGGCTCACAGTTCAAGCCCCAGGACCCACCAAAAAATGAAAAGAAAGAAAGAAAGAAAGAAATTACCATATAAACTAGTAGTCTACTTCTAGGTATGGAATCAGAAGAAAAAAAACCAGAGGCTTGAACAGGTATATATACACCTGCTATAGACACGCCTTTGTTCATGGCAGAATTACAGTAGCTACAGTTTATTAGTGGATAAAAATTTAATGCAAATGGCATTACACTTGTAATCCTAGCTACTTGGGAGGCTGAAGCCAGCCCAGGTAGGAAAGTCCATGAGACTCTCATCGCTAATAAACTACTCAGAAAAAGCTGGAAGTGGTACAATAGCTCAAGTGGTAGAACACTAGCCTTGAGCACAACCTGGCTCAGGGACAGTACCCAGGTCCTGAGTTTAAACCCTAGAACTGGCAAAAAAAAAAAATGCAGGAAGCCAGGCGTCAGTGGCTCAAGCCTGTAATCCTAGCTAGTCAGAAGGCTGAGATCTGAGGATCAAAGTTCGAAGCCAGCCCAGGAAGAAAAGTCTGTGAGACTCTTATCTCCAATAAATCACCAGAAAAACGGAAGTGGTTCTGTGGCTCAAGTGGTAGAGTGTTGAGCCTTGAGCTGAAGAGTGCCGGGACAGCACCCAATCCCAGAGTTCAAGCCCGATGACTGACAAAAAAAAAAAAAAAATGCAGGAAATTCTAAGATCCCACAACATGAATGAATCTTGTTGATATGCTAAGAGTAATAAGCCAGGCTATGATGGAAAAATATTAACGATGTCATTTATATACATTACCTAGAATACTCAAATTCATAGAAACATAAAGTAGAATAGTCATTGCTAGGGCTAGAGGGGAGAGATGCAGAGAGCTGCTATTTCCTTGGTATGATTTCAGTTTGGGATGGTGAAAATTTCTGGAGATGAATAGTGGTGATATATAACACTGTAAACATACTTAGTGCCACAAAACTCTACACTTAACTGTTAAAATGGTAAATTTCATGTAATGCATATTTTACTGCAATATGACAAAAAAAGGATGATAGCAGGAATGAACTATTTAAATATGAACATATCATTTTGCTGAGCCTTTCAGCGTTACTGGATAACAATTTAATGAAAGTGTTGAACTGGATTGGAGGCTATTTCTAGTTTCTACCTATGAAGATTCAAGTAATTCATTGTTCTACTCTAAAGTTTTCCAATAGATTCCTATTATGATTAGAGTAAAATCCAACCTGACCAAAACTTTGAACCTTATTAGTTTGTTGATAGAATTGTAAAATAGCAATGACACTTTGGGAAACAGTCTGACACATCCTCAAGATGTTAAACATAATTATACACACATATAAAGTATACTACTATACGACATCTGGCCTAACCTGTTTTATTATTTTTGTTTGGGGCTGGCAAGGTTTAAACTCAGGGCCTTAAACTCTCATTTGACCTTCTTGCTCAGAGCTGACACTCTACAACTTGAGCCATACCTATTAGTTTGGCATTTTGCTGGTTAATTAGAAATGGACTGTTGTAGACTTTTCTGCCCAGGCTGACTTTGAGCCACCATTCTCCAGATTGCAACCTCCTGAACAGGTAAGCTTATAGGCATGAGCCTCTACTGCCTGGCTTGTTTATTATTCTTATAGCACTTACTACCATCTGAAACTGTGTTTTTTTTTACTGTTATATTTACTGTCTTTCCCTTCCAGAAAATAAATTCCATAACAGCAAGAATCTTGTCTGTCTTACAAATCTCTATATTCCCAGAATTTAAGAGTTTATAACACATACTAAAGCATAATAAATCAAGAAATAATCATTACATGAATTAATCACCTTGAAAACTATTGTTTAAACAGAACTATTGTTGGGCTAGGGGATTAAGTGGTACAATGACTGATTAGCAAGCATGTACCCCAGTACCATCAAAACAAAAACAAAACAACAATGAGCAGAAATCATGTTAATCTGCTAGCAAATCTCAGCTTACAATATATAGTAACAACTCTCAGTTGGAATTGTCCCTAATGATTTGTGGATCTACTTCCCCATTGCAATTTTGGAGAATGAACCTATGGTCTTCCACTTACTAGATAAGTGCTCTATCACCTGAAGTATGCCTCCAGTCCAAAACTTGTTATACTTCAAAAAATATTGTTTTCTTCCCCCTTTCTGTGCCATCAGCAGCTACTACTTTTGAAGGTCTTTTCTCAGTCTCATTTCCTTGGGTTAGTTGTGATATGCTTGAAGCTCACAGGAGGCTTGAACTTCGGTCTAAGCTATCTGACTTCTGCTACTGTAAAAAAGGGGATAGTGTAGGCTAGTGTTCCTTCAACTTTAATGTATATGTAAATCCCCTTTGGACCTCCTTAAAAGACAGATTCTGACTCAGTATATATGGGTAGAGATTCTGCATTTAAAAGAAGCTTTCAAGTAATATCTATTCTGTTGGTACACTGATCATACTTTTTGAGTAACACTGGACCAGACAATGAAGCTGTCAGCAATAGTTTTTCATTAAAAATTTTACTTAGAGTACACCAAACCAAACACAACCCAGTGATTCTGCATGTTTCCACAACTTAAATAGCATTATTATACTTTAACTGCAATATTTCCAAGTATATTGTAGTATTTCTATTGTAATATAAAAGTACATGTCTTACAGCTAAAATTTTTCCTTCCTTCCCTTCTTTCCTTTCTTCCCTCCTCCTCCTTCTTCGCCCTCCCCTCTTTCTCTCTTTCATTCTTTTGCTGGCACTAGGGTTTGAACCCAGGGCCTTGTATTCCTTTGGCCTTTTTGCTCACATCTGGTATTCTACCATATGAGTCACACCTCCAGTTCTTACAACTTTTTCAAAAGGAATACATTAACCATCAGAGAAATAGAATGTACATTATAGGTAATAGTTATCTCCATTTTCTTTCAAATAAAGTATGTTTGTTACTCCTGGTCACTTAGAATCCCTAACTCTAAATGGGGAAAGAGAAATTAAGAGAACATGGGTATGGGTATCTGCTATCTCTGCCCTGACCCAAACTAATTTACTTATTTGGTTTGTTGTTGTTGTTGTTTTGCCAGTCCGAGGACTTGAACTCAGGGCCTGGGCACTATCCCTTGAACCACAGTGCCCCTTCCGGCTTCTTCTGTTTATGTGATACTGAGGAATTGAACCCAAGGCTTCATGCATTGTAGGCAAGCATTCTACCACTAAGCCACATTTCTTTTTTTTTTTTTGGCCAGTCATGGTGTCTGAACTCTGGCCTGGGCGCTGTCCCTCATCTCTTCAGCTCAAGGCTAGTGCTTTACCACTTGAGCCACAGTGCCACTTCCACCTTTTTCTGCTTATGTGGTGCTGAGGAATCGAACCCAGGGCCTCATGCATGCAAGGCAAGCGCTCTACCACTGAGCCACCTTCCCAGCCCCACTAAGCCACATCTCTAGCCCTAATTTACTTATTAAACAGTAAATAAAGCTTGCCCTTCTGCCTAACAGCCCTGATCATGAGAGTAAAAAAAGAATAAGAAAAAAATTAAGCAAGAATGAGGCTTATAGCGGGCGCTGGTGGTTCACGCCTGTAATCCTAGCTACTCAGGAGGCTGAGATCTGAGGATCACAGTTCAAAGCCAGCCCGGACAGGAAAGTCCGTGAGACTCTTATCTCCAATAAACCACTAGAAAACCGGAAGTGGCACTGTGGCTCAAGTGGTAGAGCTCTCGCCTTGAGCTGAAGAGTGTAAGGACAGCGCCCAAGTCCAGAGTTCTAGCCCCACAACCGACCAAAAAAAAAAAAAAAAGAATGAGGCTTGTTACACATAAGAATTACCTACTATCTTCTCAGAATACCAATTTTCCATATTTTAAAATGAGGATGAGATTAGGAACCAACCAACTGACCTCTGATGATCAATGTTAAGGTACAATGCCTGTTACTAGCCCAACCCAAATTTGTCAGTCTCACCTCTAGTGGGAGATAGGTATGCTTTTGTTCCTGGCCAACTTGCAGGCAGGGCAGGTGGGGATACTTGAGCTGAAGATTATATTTCTGTTTGAAATATTGTGCCACAGTGCACTCTACTGTCTGTCCACTCTCCAACTGCAAAGGAAACCTGTTTGGAAAAAAGGAAAGGTGATGTCATCAGCAAGCATTCAATCTTATCTCTCTCTAGATCCACACCACAGAAAGTTTCATCCTTTACTTCTTCCTACTGGACCTCCTTGACCTCTGTCACTCATGAAAAAGCAGATAATACAGGGCTACAAGGGAAAAGCCAAAGATTTGAGGACAAGGTTCCCCAACAGTCAAAGCCATGTCTGACTCATCTATTTTTTGTTGTTGTTGTTGGAGTGGTTGTGGGGCTTGAACTCCGGGCCTGGGCGCTGTCCCTGAGCTCTTCAGCTCAAGGCTAGCACTCTACCACTTGAGGCAGTGGCTCTTCCAATTTTCTAATAGTTTATTGGAGGTAAGAGTTTCACAGACTTTCGTGCCTGGGCTGGCTTTGAACCATGATCCTCAGATTTCAGCCTTCTGAGTAGCTAGGATTACAGGTGTGAGCCGCCAGTGCCTGGCTTCATCTATATTTTTATTTTTTATTTTATTTTATTTTTTTTTGGGTCCAGTCATGGGGCCTGAACTCTGGGCCTGGGTGCTGTCCCTCAGCTCTTCAGCTCAAGGCTAGCGCTCTACCACTTGAGCCACAGCACCACTTCCGGATTTTTTCTTATGTGGTGCTGAGGAATCGAACCCAGGGCCTCAAGCATGCAAGGCAAGTGCTCTACCACTGAGCCACCTTCCCAGCCCCATCTATATTTTTAATGTTGAACATAAAGCCAGACACTGAGTAGGTACTCCAGAGTCCAGTGAAGTCAAGAAGGGGGATAGAACATCTCCCAGGTTAACCAAGATTAGCCTTTTTCCAAGGTTAAAAGTTCAGGAGCCTGGCATTCCTTTTCTTTACAAAAGAAAAATGGAGATTCTAATATTTACAGATCTATAACAGGAATCAGTGGATCATGCTTGCTCTACAGTAAAGGCCCAAAGAGAAGATAAAAATTGGAGAGTAGGCAATGGACCTTGGAAAGTTGGAGACAGATGCTACATTCGTATAGCTTGTCTCCAAAACCAGGGCTAGTCTAAAGCTCATTCCCTAGGACAGGTGGGAGGGAAGGGGGGTGGGGAGAATGGTATCACAGAGAATATGTTTGAAATCTCAGATCTCTTCTAACAGTGGAGTATGTCTCAGCAACTCTGTCAACTTACGTCTGATGGCTAGCGGGGCGTCGGGTAACATTACACACACGGTATTTCCTCTTCATCTGTCCACAGTGCGTCACTTCCACCTTTAGGCCTGAGATACACACATTACTTGTCAAGTATGAAATAGGATGTTCATATACCCTGGCTTTGTCTCTCCCAAGGCAATTTCCTCTATTGGTAGGAATGACCAACAGTTTCCCTTCCCCATGAGGTTAGGTCCTCACCCTTGATCTCCTTGGTAAAGCGAACACGCTGGGAGTCTGTGAGGGGCTTGGGTTGCTCATCTATGTTCCTGATGTCCAGTACCTCACACATGAATTCAATCACTGGTTGTGCCTTATAGAAGGCAGTGGCTGAGACTGTGGGGACAGGGTAGGGATAGGTTAGCTTAGGTTCTGTCTGAATAAATAAGGTATTGCAATTTATACCCTCTTCTTTATAGGGTGCTGGGATGAGGATAGGGGGTGCTAGGGCTATAGGAATTAGACTAGGAGTTTGGTTGCAGAGCTAGAAGGGATGAGGCTGGGAGTGTGGTCACTGGACTTGGGGTGCCCCTGGCTCCATAGCTCTCCCCACTCACCATCAATGTTGAGCATCATCTTCCACATGGCAGGGCGCACAGACTGGTGAAAGCCGAACCAGACCTCGCGCCCACCCCCCAGCGGGTGGTAGTAGCCCTCAGGCGGTGAGAAGAAGGAGCGGCCCACAGGGGTGTACCTGGCAGGGACAGGCAGAGAACTGGTCCCTCGGGCACAGGCCCCCACCCTGTGAGGCATCCTGGGCACGGAGGAGCCCTGGCCTGGAAGGCAGGACACCAGGGCTTTAATGCCAGCTCTGATCTTTTATTAGTTGTATGACTGACCTTGTTCAAGTTTCTACCCTGCCCTGCAGGGACAGATGGGATGAGGCCCAAAGATATCTAAGGACAGGGTCAGGGGTTTAAACCATCTAAATGTCTATGCATACTTGCCTGGCACATGATAGGACTACAAAGAAATTCTTTTCCGTGGCACACTATGGGACCTTAACATGTACTCACTCCCTTCCTCCCCCCACAGCAGTTCTGTCAATACTAGTAGCCCAGATACTAACTACACCCAATACCTCATGGATGCCAGGTGCCTCATGGCCACATCCAGGGCTTGCACAGACTCCAGGGGAACAGGGATCTGTCCACTGACCAGGGCCTCATGCAGCATGCGCCAGCTCACAATGGCTAGCCACTTGATGGAGACCTTAAAAATCCGATCCTTCCCTTCCCCAGGAATTGTCACCTCAAAGTCGACCTTCAGGAGGGTGAGAAAAAAAAGAGTAAAGGATTGTCATCACAGAGAGATACAGGCAGACCCAGCTGCCACCCACTCCATGGACTTGCCAAAATTCTGCTCCTTAAGTCAATAAGGCTCAGAATAAAAACTGCAGAGTAAATCCAACCCCTTAGTTTCCAGCCACCTTGGTTCAGTGCTTTTTTCCCTCTCAACCTAGCGGGAAGTTCTTTAGGTCTATTTTCCATTTAATCTGAGTCTGTTTAGGGAACAGGTATAGGCTAAGTAAGCATTAGCACCTATTTACCTCTCACGCTAAAACACACTTTCATAGCACAAATTATCAAAAGGCTCCCCGAACCTCCAAACTCCAGATGGGCTTACATTAGGTTTGTTCCAATTCAGACCTCTGATACAGGCCTATCCTGATTCCCCATCTTACCCGTTCGTTGCCAATAGGCAATGCTGTGACAGTGTAAATGTTCTTCTTTCCATCATACACAGGCTTGCGATCACCAAAGATCTGAGGCTTGAAATGCTGGACCATGTATTCCACCACTTCCCTGTGGGGGACAGAAGTGGCCTGTGGAAGCCAAGAGACTACCACTTCAAGTTTTTGGAAATAATTCAAAGTCCAAGCAATGACCCATCTATTATATTCACACCAAACATTTTTTCACTCTGTGACAGTTCTTTTCAAACTTCAACATTCCTATGAATCACTTGGAGGTCCTATTAAAATGCAGCTTCTGATTCAATAGGCCTAGAGTGCAGTCTGAAACTGCATTTCTAACATCCCAGGTGATGCTGTTGCTCTAGGATCACCAAGACTCTAAGGGACCAGAAAGAGTGGGTATGCATGCCTTCTAAGCAGAAGAATCTGAGATGAAAAGGACTTGATTCCAGTGTCTATCCAGAATCCAGGCTATTCTAATTTCCAATCCCTAGTCTGATAAGCAAAACAAAAAAAGGATGAAGAGGAAAATATAAACTGGAATAATAATAAACTGTTTAGAACCTCATCTCATCTCTCCATCTTTCTGAAACTTAGTACCACTAACCTATTTTCTCTCAATTATAATCTTCTCCTCAATTTTATTTATTTTTTACTTTTATTTTTTGGTCTGTTATGGGGCCTGAACTCTGGGCCTGGGCACTGTCTCTCAGCTCTTCAGCTCAAGGCTACTGCTCTACTACTTGAGCCACAGTGCCACTTCTGGATTTTTTTGCTTATGTGGTGCTGAGGAATTGAACCCAGGGCCTCATGCATGCAAGGCAAGCACTCTACCACTGAACCACCTTCCCAGCCCCTCCTCCTTAATTTTCTTATCCTCTGCTACTTAGATCCTGGTGTCATCTATCATTCTTCTTAGCCCAAGAACCATCTGATCTCTTTGCTTCCTAAACCAAAGCCCTTGGTACTGCTATCTAAACCACACTCAAAATGGTATGTTAGGAGCAAATTATTTGAATTCCAATATGTCTCAATGCTGCCAAGCGATCTTTTTTCTTTTTCTTTTTTTTTGGGTGGGGGTCCGGTCATGGGGCCTGAACTCTGGGCCTGGGCGCTGTCCCTCAGCTCTTCAGCTCAAGACTAGCGCTCAACCACTTGAGCCACAGCACCACTTCCGGCTTTTTTCTTTTTTCTTTTTGGTGCTGAGGAATCGAACCCAGGGCCTCAGGCAGGCAAGGCAAGCGCTCTACCACTGAGCCACCTTCCCAGCCCCAAGCAATCTTTTTTCAACTCCCTGATTACTTATAGTCCTCATAGAATCTGTCAAATCTTCTCTACCATTCATCCCTGCCTTCTATGTGAAAGTAATTCTAATATCTCTGAAATGAGTGAGAATAATAGGCAAAGTTAGCTTTGAATTTCCAGATATGTACATAAACATTTATATATATGCTCTTTTTTTCTTTTCCTCTCATTTTGGAAATGTCCCCTACATGTATTATTTTTAGACAAATGAAAATATATTGAACTTTATTCACTAAAGAAAAATAATTTAAAATTAGAATACCATGTAATAATCTACCTATCAGAATGCTAAAAAAAAACTGATATACACTGTTAGTACAGATATGAATAACAAATCCCCTGAAGCTTTGCTAATGGGAATAAAAATCAATATAATTTACCTTTAAAAACTGACAATATCTGAAATACTTTATATTTACTGTTCTAACAACTGCACTTCTAGAAATCTATCCCCCAGATGTACTCATATATGGGTAAAAATATATATCCATATAATTATATTTAGTATAGCTTCAATTTTGTAGCAGAAATTTAGTATTCCCCTAATATTCAATAGATTTATTGAGTAAATGTAATATAGCTATTCAATGGAATACTTATGGAGTTATGCAAAAAACTGAGACAGATTACATGTATCAATATGTACTATTTTCCAAAATAATGGTTTAATAGGAAAAATGCAAGGTGCAGAACAAAATATATTAGGATCCTATCTTTTGTGCATTCAAAAATTATGTATAGCGCCAGGCAACAGCAGATCATGCTTGTGATCCTACTCAGGAAGCTGAGATATGAGGAAATATGAGGATTGAGGTTCAAAGTCAGACCAATAAAGTCCATGAAACTTCAATTAACCACCCAAAAAGCCAGAAGATCTGTGGCTCATGTGGTAGAATGCTAGTGTTGCACCAAAAAACTTGGGACATTGCCCAGGCCCTGAGTTCAAGTCCCAGACAGGCACACACACAAAAAATAATAATAATAAATTATATTTGAATATGCACAGAGGAGTCCAGAAACATACTTAAGAATGGTAAAACATAATGCCTCAGGGGAGCAGGCTTGTAAGACATCTTTTACTGTTACTTTTTGTAATTACTCAGGACTTTAAAACATTGTGCATATGCCAGGTGCCCGTGGCTCATGCCTGTAATACTAGGTACTCAGGAGGCTGAGAGCTGAGGATTGTGGTTCAAAGCCAGCCCGGGCAGGAAAGTCCGTGAGACTCTCATCTCCAATAAAACCACTAGAAAACCAGAAGTGGTGCTGTGGCTCAAGCGGTAGAGCACTTGCCTTGAGCTGAAGAGCTGAGGGACAGCACCCAAGCCCAGAGTTCAAGCCCCACAACTGACCAAAAAATAAATAAATAAGTTTTAGAAAGAAATTTGCTTCTTTTGACTGAGAATAATTAATCCCAAGTATACACTTTATGATGTCCTCCTGTCTCAGGAAGAACATCCTACTTTCATTCCTAGACCTTTCAAAACCTCTCCTCAATTAACTCTTTCACCTCTGTCACAAACATCCATACCTCATTCTTAAAAGTTCTTCATCCATTTCAACAAGGCTTTAAATTTGCTAGGCACTATTCTTGGCCCCTGCAGGCCTCTTTAGCCAATATTTCCTCTCTCCATTTTACTGCCAAATTATGTGGAAAAAGTTATCTGTTTTCATTATTCATACCACTTATGCCTTTGCTTACTGTGGTTAGATTAACTAACCCAATTACTCTATTGAAATTGTTCTGACAGTGGCTGGGAATGTGGCTTAGCTGTAGAGTGCTTGCCTAGCATGCATGAACCCCTGTGTTCGATTCCTTAGCACCACATAAACAGAAAAACCTGGAAGTAGTGCTGTAGCTCAAATGGTAGAGTGCTAGCCTTGAGCAAAAAGAAGCTTAGGGAGAGTGCTCAGGAAGGAAAGGAAAGGGAAAGGGAAAGGGAAAGGGAAAGGGAAAGGAAAGGAAAGGGAGAAGACAAGAGAAAAGAAATTGTTCTAGTAAAAGCCACCAATTCTCTCTTAATGACCAAATTCAACGTCCACCCTACCTGACATCTCTTCCTCAAAAGTTTGCTTGAATTTGGTGGAATCACCCTCTGCTGGTTTTTCTTTTAGTTTTATGCCCCCTTTCCAAGTTCTGAGGAAAGCAAAGATTCCTGAACTTGGTAACAACTTACCGGTTGACTCTTCGGGGACACTTGTCTGGCTTGATGTCCACTTCATAGTGGTAAACGTCAATCTTAGGAATGTCCACCTCAAAGTAATTGGCCAGAAGTTTGATTGGTTTTCCCACAGTGCCAATGCCAGGGCGACGTGGTGCCTGGAACACCTGCTGCAAGGGGGGCAGGTAGGCGCCCGCAGCTATTAAGACAAAGAGGCCCAATGAGGTCAGAGTCCTCAAACTCCTAACAATTACCCAGATCAGAGAAAGCACAGGCCTCCTAGAAAAGGAACAAGGAGTATGTAAGGTCCGCTCCTGGATGGCCAGCAGACTCCACCCTCCTCACAGCGAAGTCTCCACCCAGTACCTGCAATACCTAGGCAACTGGGACACTTGGAAGAGGTCACATCTGCATCTGCTGAGGTCACATCTGAATTTGATGTGGCCACACCTTTCTAAGGCCTAGCCCAGGCCCAGACTCTCTCGCTGCTCTTTTCTAGCTCTCTCTGCTCTCTCTCTGCTCTCTCTGCTCTTTTCTAGCTCTTTCCTCTCTCTTTTCTCTTTCCCAGCTCTCTCTCATTCCCAGGCCTTTCCCAGCCACGTGGAGTGCCAACCTTGCCTGGTCCCAGCAGGTCTACTGAATAAACCTACCACTTACCTGAATACCATGTGCATGGTGCAGTTCTTACTCGGCTACCCCTCTCTCTCTGCTCTTGTCTAGCTCTTCTCAAGCTCTTTTCTCTCTTTCCCAGCTCTCTCTCTTTCCTAGGCCTTTCCCAGCCACGTGGAGTGCCAACCTTGCCTGGTCCCAGCAGGTCTACTGAATAAACCTACCCCTTACCTGAATACCACGTGCGTGCTGCTGTTCTTACTCGGCTACCTCTTTTTAAAAACCTAACAGAGAGTAGAGAGGAAACCTCTATACTGCTTCCTAATTCAGTTGAGTGTTTCCACTAACTCAGACATTGCTAGGCTCATTTATTTCTTTTTTCTTTTTCTGGTATTGTTGTTAAATTCCCTTTTCTAGTCAGAAAAATGTCTATCTTAAACTAATGATGTAAATATGTGCTAAATTCCTACTACATGATAAGGGAAGGGGCTAAATCTGACTCCTAGTAACAAAACCTTTCCTTCCTTATACTTGATTAAGATACCTATCTCTACCAAGTGTCTCACAGACTAAGATTGTCCTACCCTGCTGGCCAGATGCTCACTTAACCCCATCCTGAACACAAAATAACATCATCTTGATCTTCCTCTGCAATTTAGACAGGAAGACCAAAAGAAGACCAGGCTGGGTAGTGCAGGGGTAGTGTTTGAGACAGGATTAAGACAACTAAATGACTGGAATGGGGGGCAGGGGGTGCAAAAGAACACTAAGGAGACTACAGACTGGAAACAAGGTGAGATAAGGGGTTGAGGAAAAGACCAACACTGGGAATCACGGTAGAAAAAGGCTTGAATTGGGCAGGAAGGCTAGAATTCAGGGACAGAGAAATTTAAGTTAGAGTTGGGGGCTAAGGTAAGATGAAGTATGGTACCTACAACAGAAAGAGCAGTGAAGAAAAAGCTTACGTGAAGAAAGAACTAGGGGCTGGGAATGTGGCGTAGTGGCAGAGTGCATGCATGAAGCCCTGGGTTCAATTCCTCAATACCACATAAACAGAAAAAGCTGGAAGTGACACTGTGGCTCAAGTGGTAGAGTGAGTAAAAGAAGCTCAGGGACAGTGCCCACACCCTGAGTTAAAGTCCTAGGACTGGCAAAAAACAAAAACAAAAAACTAGGGGGCTTGGGAAGCAGAGATAGCAATCTGAATATAGAAGAACAGACACTGGCTCTGAAAAAGAAAATATAAAATTCTTTCCATGCTCCACAAATCCTTCCATGCAGAAAGCCTAGAGAGCAGGAGTCAATTTCAAGACTGAGAGCCCTAGGGAAAGGGTTAGGAGAAGGACAACCTATTTGCTGTCCCCAGTCTTATTTTCTAGCTGGGGGCAGGGAAGGGGAAGGAAATAGAGAAGCCTTTGTCCCCACTTACTATTATTGTTCTTGCCATTAGACGACCAGCCAGGTGGGAGGACAGAAGGAAGGATAAAGCAGCCGAGAACCTCCCATTACCAGAGCTCAGCTTTTACCTCAGACAGGCTGGGAGTGGGGGAGAGGGAGAGGAGAGGTAAGCCTATCTTCAGCTGTAGGTTCAGAAAGAGGTCAGAACCATTTGTGGGAGGGGGCACTTCCCAGAGTTTAGCAGCTCAGTCTCCCTCTAACCACCTGTTAAGTACAGCCCCACTCTGCAGAAAGGGAAATTAAGGCCCAATCTGGAGGGGGAAAAAAAGCCTTCAGAACGCAGCTATGGGCAAGAAGCATAACTACCCACACTTGGCTACCTACTCCAGAAAGACTAGCACAGAAGCTGCAACACAAGCCTACAGACAGACACATGTTCCTGTCACATTTGAGCACAACCTAGACCTTGAAAGTTTACCTTTACCTCAGGGCTTTCATCTGGGTTCTTCAAAAAGCAGAACCCCTAGTGCCTACCAGACAAGTGGACAGACTTAAACAAAGAAACACACCCAGAGACATATTACAAGAGGACACAAACAAATGAACATCTGCAAACACCCCCCCCCCAAAAAAAAAAAAATCTTGTGCTGGACAAACATGAAGCATTGTGAGTTTAGATAAAGTGATACCTTTTCTTCCCCAAGCACTCAGATTCCATCTACCTTATCTTCCAGGTTGAATAATCATTTGGGGCCTTGGGAGAAACACATGCCCCTAGAACTAGGAGCTGGTTAGAAATGATGGGGTGTGGGACAGATATCAACCCTAAAGCCTCCTCTTGGCTAGAAATAAGATACACCAGACTTGGCCTTAGAGTACCCTCCCTGGAAGGTTTTGGAAAAAGGAGCTTACACCCCATTTCATATCCCAACTAGGGAAGACAGGAGGAAGCAAAAAAAAAAAAAAAAATTGTCTCATATGGTATCCCCCCCCCCCCTACTCCCATAAGCCCTCCCAGCTGTACAAAGTCCTTCCCCCCCCCCCCATTACCACACCCTGCCCCCAGCTTTCAGTCTGAGAATGGGAGACACTTCCCGTCAGACCCAGACAGGGACAGACGGCCACTTTGTGATGCAGATGAGGGCCCCAGCACAGAGGACAAAGCTCCAGCCTAAGGGGAAAGGGGCGGGGCCCTCCCCTGCAGACAAAAGCAAGGAGGGAGGGGCCTTGAAAATGACACTCCCCCTCCCCCATCTCCAACCAGCCCAGAGAAAGTAAGAGCTTGAAGCCCTGGCTCTGTATTCCTACCAGCAGCACAGAAGCCCAACCAACCTCCCTAAGAGCCAGGCTCCTAATCAAAAGAGGCTAGGTACGTGGGTAAGAAAAGACCCAGAGACCAATCTCTCCAAAAAGGATTTGTCCCATTATTAAATACACACCATTATTGAATATACACATATGAGATTAACCAAATTTCACACTTGAGTGGGATCTCATTCAATTAACAGTGGCCTCCAAATACATGAGACAAATGTTGATTCTAAAGAAATCAGGCACTCCCTTTACCTTCAAGGAACTCTCAGTCCAGTACAGGTGTTTGGAACACGCTTGTCCACAGGAGGCACACCTGGACCTGAGACCATTGCCTAGGTTATGTGCAGTTCCCCCCAGCTGTCTCAGGACATTATTCCAATTTCTTTCAAGACAAATAGTCTAGGCTTAGAACAGTTATGGAGTCCCTCCACCAACAGCTTTCACGCTGAATTGTTTTGTTTTGTTTTCCAATCCTGGGGCTTGAACTCAGGGCCTAGGCAATGTCCCTGAGTTTCTTTTGCCCAAGGCTTGCACTCTAGCCCTTGAGCCACAGTGCCACTTCTGGCTTTTTCTTTTTATGTGGTACTGAGGAATCAAACCCAGGCTTCATGCATGCTAGGCAAGCACTCTACCACAAAGCCACCTTCCTTGAGGCTGAATTTTAATTACTACCTTTGTTGAGGCAAAGCCTGGTCCTACTAGGCTTCTCTCAAGATTACAGCTGACTCCAGAACTAGATCCCAGCTCTTTCCCTAGAAGCTTATTTCTTGTTTAAAAAAAAAAAGTCATTTTTTTCATTATTCCAGAACCTATTAGAATATATGTCAGGATAAAATCATTAGCAGCCTGGGTGCAATCTATCTGGACTTCAATGACCCACCTACCCTGTTCTTGTCCACAGGTTGTTGGTAATAACTATGCAGCTTAAAAAACTAAGAGTTTGTAGGATGGAGAATGGGAATAGCAGTTTTCACTGAAGTCAGCTGCTACCTGCACTCCACCTTAGGAACTTACACAACTTCTGGAAGTGTCTGTGTGGGGGGGGGGAATAGTCACTAAGTACTCATACGTATCATTGAATGAAAGACTTGAGAGAGTAGTTGCAACTTGACTGGTCTGAAATACAAAGATTTGTCCATTAGGAAAGTAATGTTAAGTCCAAAACAAAATTTACTACTCCTATCCACAGTCCAGATGGAAGGAGGTGGTGAGAAAATACCTAAAAGATTCCTGAGTCCAGAATACTCTTTCCGTCACAGAGTAAGAGAGCTAGGCCTAGGATACAGAGGGTACTACCAGCCTACAACCCATCCAGAGGAATCCATACTTCTTGGGGGCAAGTTTGCCTCAGTTTCTCCTGTTTTTATCTCCTTTTCACTTTTTTTTCCGGCTGTGGGGCTTGAACTCTGGGCACTCTCCCTCAGCTCTTCGGCTCAAGGCTAGTGCTCTATCACTTGAGTCACAGCACCACTTCCAGTTTTCTGAGTGGTTTAGTCTAAGAGTCTAACGGATGTTCTTGCCTGGGCTGGCTTTGAACTGTGATCCTCAGATCTCAGCCTTCTGAGTAGTTAGGATTATAGGGGGTGAGCTACCGGCACACTGCTCCTTTTCACTTCTGAATAAGAAGTTATGACTACTAACTGGGACTTGCCAGAACCAATGTTAAAAAAAAAATCTCTCTTCAAACAACCTGTTTGTATTAAAACAGACTAGCCTAGCAATCTTGGATCTAATGAGCAACCCCCTGATGGTTTCTGAAGAGCAAAGATGAAAAAGGAAAGATACTCCGGGAGACAGGTTGTGAAAATATTAAGGTATAAAGAGATTACACTGTGATATCAAAAGATAATTCAATGGACAAGATCATTACTTTTGGATTAAAAGCTCCTACCTCTCATTCAGGATTGGACTAGAAACTTGAAAACCAGTTAAACTTGGCCTATCCTTGGTACCTTTTCTAAGGCCTGTCTTCAGGGAGGACCAGTTCTCCTCAAACATGACTTCAATTCTCCTCTTTCCTCTTGAAGCTGAAAAAGGCACTTTGGCAGCATCCCTCAATCCATTCTTGGCAAATTGTGACTGAGGGGCTTAAGGGCCAAATGTCAGAGACTCCAAGATGGAGAAGGGGCAATTCCCATTGGCACTCTGTCAGCACCTTAAGAGAATGCACGCATAAGTGCACTAGTTTTTCCAGGCCAAACAGGGTGAGAGAAGTGTGTGTGGGGGGGGGGGGGGGAGCAGCAGGCAGCCACGCCCCCACCACATCAGGCAGCCCCTTCCAGCTGGCACCTCCGCGCATGCTCCTATGTCACCGCTCAGGTTCCCCAACCTCACCAAGGGGGAAATCCTTCGTGCCAGATCCCCACCCACTGTCCTCTGACCCTCGCCCTCCAGTCAGTTGCTGGCTGGGGCGGAGCTCACAGCCCAGCTCTGGCGCCTTCTCCCAAGAGACATTAGCTTAGCCCGACCCAGGCGAGCCCCCGCCCCCGGCATGCAGTAGCTGCAGGCCCTACGTTGTCGTCGTCCTCCCCCACCCCCCTCCAGGACACCTGGATCCCGCCCCTGCCACCTGCCGGGCCTCGCTAGGCCTCCCCTGATCTCCAGGAGCCCTTCCGTGCTCTCAGGCCCAGCTACCAGATTACTTCCCACTCCCAGGACTGCATACAGCCTTCCCGGGCAAACAGCTCCCATCTCAGGGTCCTCTTCACATGGTTCCCCCCGCAGGCCCCGAACCCGGAACGGCGCACAGCTCCCTTCAAAATGCCCCCCCCATCCCAGGAGAGCCCTGCTGTCACTCAGAAGCCCTCCTCCCAGGAGCCAGGGTCTTCCCGCGAGAGGCCCTCGGGTTTCTGGAGCGCGCACCGTTCCGCCCTCCCGGGGCCCTTACCTGCTCCCGAGGGTCCCGCTTCCATCCCATATACCCGTGCGGGGGTCAGGCGGCCTGGAGACGGTGGAGTCCAGCGTGAGGGGCCTAGCTCCCCCGCTCTCTCGCAGTTCGGGCTCCCGGGCCGGGCTCGGCTACACCCCCAAGCCCGGCCGCTCGCGCCGGCGCCCCCGCAGCCTCCGTTGCCGCCGCCGCCGCCGCCGCGGAGCCTGCAGCAGCTCCCCCTGCGAGCGCCCGGCCAGCTGCCAGTGCGCAGGCGCGACCGCCAGGCCCAGGGGGCGGACGGGAACGAGTCAAGCGGGGCGCTCCGACGGCAACAAAGGCCAATGGAGAGGGGCGGGGGCACGGGGACCGGAGGCAGCGGCCCCTGGCGGTCACCCTTCGCCCTGCAGCCTGGCGGGAGGGCTCCGGTAGGGGCGGCCGTGGAACGGCGCTGTGGCGTTCAGTGGGGGCGGGACTGGGTGACACCCCCCAGCAGCTGCCTAGGACTCCGGTTCCCCCCCGCCCCCCCACACCCTCCTCCTCCAAACAGGTCCCCCCAAACCCACACACAGCCCCCGCCCTCCGCACAGTGTCACGCGCCCGTTACAGGAAGCCCACCTCACCCCCCCCTCCCGCATCACAGCAAAGCCCATCACCCAGGGCCCGGCCTCCCACCTCTCCTCCCCATCACCCTCATCCTTCCAGCCTCGGCTGCACAGACTCTGCCTCCGAACTCACTGACGCCACCCTCTCCAGACCACACCGCGGTGGAGACCCTGCCCGCTCTGAAAGACGTCAGCCTCGACTTCCGTGTCCGCAGGACCTAAAGAAGCACCTGCCTCCACTTCCTCATGGGCAGCATCTGCCGCCTGTGCTCTCCCCACCTCACCTAAAGGACTTTGTGCGTCAAAATGCAAAGGATGCTTTTCAGTTATCCCCCAGCCCCCCAGAATCTCCTCTTTATCTTTCTTTTTTTCTTTTAAAGCCTTCTACTTGGCTTCAGGCTTTTCTTAGAGTCTTGTAATGCCTCAGTCCCTTTCAGCTTTCTTAAAGGGCCCTTCTTGCGTTGGCCCATTAATAAAGGGATCCCTGTGGTTCCAAACCTAGTTATCTTCTTATTCCACTCTCCACACTCACCTTGAAGATTTAACACGCTCGTATGGTCCCACTCTCCTTCCAAATCTCGATTTCTAGCCACATTTTTAGGCTTTTTTTTTTTTTTTTTTTAACATTTTAGATTGGTATCTCCAAGTGTCTGCTGGACAGCTCCATCTGGATAATCTACTAGTCCAAACCAAACTTTTCATCTTTCCACCTACCAACATTTGTACTTGTACTGTGCTTTCTGTCTCTATGACTAGCAAAAATGACAATTCCGCTCTCTCCTTTGCTCTTTTCCTCTACTCAGTTGTTCACTGTGTCTGTCTTTCTTCTCTTTCTTTTTTCTTGCTTGCTCTTTCTTCCTCCTCCTCCTCTTCCTTTTCCTTTTTCTACCCTTCCTTCTTTTGGTAGTACTGGAGTCTGGCAGTACAGGCCTCTTTCTTGCTAGGAAGGTATATCACTTGAGTCATACCCTCTCAACCCTTTTTTAGTTTAGCTATTTTCCCAGTAGGGTCTTGTGCCTTTTGACCAGGCTACCCTGGAACTCCAAACCTACCTAGACTTCCTCATACCTGGGATTATAGGGATGAACCTTTACACTGGGCCTCACTGTTCAACATGTCATGACATGCATGCATCCCTTCGGAACTGCTCTCACATGATTTCTGATAGTTCCTTATGCTGGTGCAGACTCTTATCCTACCTTAATTGAAATATCACATGTATGCCCTTGCTAATTTCAACAGTTTCTGGGATCATTCCTTTTTTTTTTTTGGTCAGTCATAGGGCTTCAACTAGAGACCTGGGTGTCCTGTCCCTGAGCTCTTTTGCTCAGGACTAGTCTTTTACCACTTTGAGCCACAGCACCACTTCTGACTTTCTGATGATTAATTGAAGATAATAGTTTCAGGGCTGGGAAGGTGGCTCAGTGGTAGAGCGCTTGCCTTGCAATGCATGAGGCCCTGGGTTCGATTCCTCAGCACCACATAAGCAAAAAGAAAAAAGCCGGAAGTGGCGCTGTGGCTCAAGTGGTAGAGTGCTAGCCTTGAGCTGAAGAGCTGAGGGACAGCGCCCAGGCCCAGAGTTCAGGCCCCACGACCGGACCAAAAAAACAAACAAACAAACAGTTTCATGGACTTTGCTGTCTGGGCTGGCTTTGAACTTGATCCTCAGACCTCAGCCTCCTGAGGAGCTAGGATTACAGGCATGAGCCACCATCACCTGGCCATTTCTCCTTTTTGTTGGCTGCACTGATAAAAGTGATAGTAAGAGACCCACTTCAAACATCACTTTCCCATATTGATATTTACATGACTTGTATTTTTTTACAAATGTGGCAAAGAATTCTGAGAATTTAAGGACTATACTCAGTCCTTATGAGATTAACTTCTGATACTTTAATCATGGCATATCTAGCTTCTCTTCACTAGAGGTTCTCAACAATCAGAATTATTTGGAGATTTTGTTAAAACACTTGACTGCTGAGCCCTGCTCCCAGAGTTTCTGATTCATAAGTCTCATGTTGGACCAAAAAATGTGTATTTTGAATAATTTTCCAAATGAAGCTGATGTTGCTGAATATGGGACCACACTGACAACTAATATTAAACAGTAGTTAAGCCGGGCACCGGTGGCTCACACCTGTAATCCTAGCTATTCAGGAGGCTGAGATCTGAGGATCTCAGTTCAAAGCCAGCCCAGGCAGGAAAGTCTGTGAAACTCTTATCTCTAATAAACCTCAGAAAACCGGAAGTGGCACTATAGCTCAAGCAGTAGAGTGCTCGCCTTGAGCTGAAAAGTTGAGGGACAGTGCTCAGGCCCAGAGTTCAAGCCCCACAGTCAACCAAAAAAAACAGTAGTTAAGAAAAATTCTAGAAAGCCAGGTGTTAGTGGCTCATGCCGGTAATCCTAGCTACTCAGGAGGCTGAGATCTGAGAATCATAGTTCAAAGCCAGTACAGGCAGAAAAATGCCCATGAGATTCTTATCTCCAATTAAGCTCAAAAACTAGAAGTAGAGCTGTGGGTCAAGTGGTAGAGCTCTAGCCTTGAGCAAAAGAGTTCAGGGACAGCACCCAGCCCCTGAGTTCAAAGCCCATGAGTGACAAAAAAAAGAAAGGAAGAAGGAAAGGAAGGAAGGAAGAGGGAGAGAGAGGGAGGGAGGGAGGGAGAGGAAGGGGAGGGAGAAAGAAGAAAGAAAGAAAGAAGGAAGGAAAGAAGGAAGGAAGGAAGGAAGGAAGAAAGAGAGACCTTTGAGCCAGATTGTCTTGGATTCAATTCTAGTCTTCCACTTGGACAAATTATTTAACTTCTCAACTTCTCTGTATCTCAGTTTCCTTCTCTATATAAGTATGGTAATAATAGTGGTTACCTCAATAGTTGTTGTGAAGATTAAAAGAATTGTTACAGGCCAGGTGTGGTGGCTCATGCCTGTAGTCCTAACTGTTCAGGAGATGAGATATTGGGAGTATTATAGCTTTGAGTCAGCAACAACCAAAAAGTTCAAGAGACCCCTATTTCAACCAAAATGACCTGAGCGTGGTGGCATGCTTGTTACCTAGTTCCACAGAAAGTACAAATAGGAGGGTCACTATCCAGGCTGGCCTGGGCATAAACATGAGATCCTATTTGAAGAATAAAATAAGGGGCTGGGATGGTGGCTCAGTGGTAGAGCACTTGCCTTGCATGCATAAGGCCCTGGGTTTGATTCCCTAGCACCACATAAGCAAAAAAAAAAAAGCCGGAAGTGGCGCTGTAGCTCAAGTGGTAGAGCGCTAGCCTTGAGCTGAAGAGCTGAGGGACAGCGCCCAGGCCCAGAGTTCAAGCCCCACGACCGGACCCAAAAAAAAAGAAAAAAGAAAATAAAATCAGATTGGAAGTGTGGATTGAGTGGTACAGTGCCTGCTAGCAAGTACCAGGCTCTGAATGCAAACCCAGTACCACCAAAAAAAATTGTAATACATAAAACAATTTTAGAACAATATCTTAAATAATGCAAGCATAGAATTAGCTATTAACATAATCATTATTTGCCTTTCACATTATATTCTAAGTTCCTAAGTTCAACACAGAGATCATATCAGAAACATTTCTGGGCCCCTGTGCATAGCACAAATGTGCACAGAAACCCTTACATGTAGGTTTTCTTGAATCAAACAGAGGCTTCATAAAGTTCTTGGAAGTCAGCCAGGTGGTGGTGGCTCATGCCTGTAATTCTAGCTACTTAGCAGGCTGAGATCTGAGGATCTTGGTTCAAAGGCAGCCCAGGCAGGAAAGTCCATGAGACTCTTATCTCCAATTAACCACCAGAAAAACCAGAAGTGGCACTGTGGCTCAAGTGGTAGAGCTCTTGCCTTGAGCTGAAGAACTCAGGGACAGTGTCCAGGCCCAGAGTACAAGCCCCACAACCAACAAAAATTAAAAAGAAAAAACATTCTCAGAATTTGATCCCTGGTGGCTCATGTTTATAATCCTAGCTATTTAGGAGGCTCAGGGGTTCAGGGCTAGACCAGGCACACAAATCCTGGATATCTCAAATTAACCAGCAAAAAGCCAGAAGTGGGGGTGTAGTTCAAGTGGTAGAGGACCAGCTGTACCAGCTGTGTGCAAAAAAGCCAATCAAGAGCTTAAGGCCCTGAGTTAAAGCCCAAGTATCAGAGGGTAGGGTGGAGGGAGGGAGAGTCCATAAAAGTCTAAGTCCTTTTTTCTAAATACTTGATCTCATATTGAAGTTTAAGGAAAGGAACTAGTCACTATTCTAACACATCTCTGAAGAGCCTAGTGATTCCAATTTTCAAAATCCTTCTACAGGGCTGGGAAGTTGGCTCAGTGGTAGAGTGCTTGCCTTGCATGCATGAGGCCCTGGGTTCGATTCCTCAGCACCACATAAGAAAAAAAGCCGGAAGTGGCGCTATGGCTCAAGTGGTAGAGCGCTAGCCTTGAGCTGAAGAGCTGAGGGACAGCCCCCAAGCCCAGAGTTCAGGCCCCACGACCAGAATAAAAAAAAAAAAAAAAAAAAAATCCTTCTACAATGTGTCCCTATATAAGTATAAAAGAAATCCAGACAGCATTTTCTTTTCTAGTATGACATAGTTCCTTCAATAACT